ACTGAAGCTTTTAGAAATCTTAAATAAACATAATAAAGTCTCTCTCTATTGATAAAACCATTGAGACTACTACAAAGTGTTTACTACACGGAAGTGCTTGGTTTTGAAAGTTAATGTATAGTTTGGTAAGAAATGAAAAAACTATTCTAGAATATTTATTCTTGCTTTAATTATGATTGTTAATGTTTTTGTTCATCTATTTTTATCTAAATGTCTTAAATTGAAAGAGTTTTCAATTGAAACACAAAATTTTATTCTCTTTTAAATGTTATGTATTTATCTGCTTTTGAAGTAGTATCGATATCAATTAAGTGTGGTTCTAACTCGTAAAGAAATTAAATTTAGTTGTGCAATGTAAGCTCATATCGCAATGTCATTCTTTTCTTTACACGTAAAGCGGTCGAATCATGCACAAAATCAACATACTCATCGCTCATAAGAAGTACGTGATAGACAGTAGAAGAAAAGGTCAATATATAAAACATTACACGTGTGTCCACAATAGATTGGTTATAATAGCAAGAAGGATCACAAAAAAAGTGTTCAGTGACATTAGAGAAAGACTTTTTCAGTAAAAATTGTTGCGTCAAATCTAAGACTCAGATGTGTTCACTCGTAAAAGTAATTTAATATATACGCCTTACGATTATAAATCATTTCAAATCGATGACATCTTTTCTCTGAATATCATGGATTATCTCTTATCAATGTAAATAGATGAGATAATTACCTATCAACTTTCACTTGAAACTTATTCATTCTAATGAATATCTCTGTTTAAATAAATTCAACAATATAATGAATAGACCGGAAGTTTTGAGATAAAATCATTGTTTACTTGTAAGCCTTCTTAAAGGTGTTTCTAAATGGGTTACCTTTGAAAGATTTAAAAGAATAATTTGAACGGAATGCATAAACCGACGTTTCTCGTGTAAATGTTTGTTCAGTTTGATATGCTTGCTTTTGTCCAAGGCAACCTATAGACATTTTGTAAAAAGGTTCTTTTCATGCAAAACACTTTTTGATCAAAAGCCGATATTTTCAATAAACGAAGGTTTAAGAAAAATGAACTATCCTGTTGAAAGACAAAAAAAAACTCAAATACGACATTTCGTAGGATAAGCTTTGCTTCAGTAAAGTCTATCCGAAAAATACAATGTTTGCGTGTGTTGTTGCATTGACTCGAGAACGAAAAAATCTAGAGAGCTACAATTTTCACTATTCAAGACAGAACACTCGAGGTTATTAAAATGTATCGAAATTTCATTGGTCCCAGAAAAGCAACTAGACAATGGTAGTTTATTGTGCTAAGTCATATGGTGATACTTTATTTTAGATTCGAAATGATCTCACTCTGTTATCTCAATATTTCTGAAACTCCACAATCAGCATCCATGTGACGAAGGAGTCAACATTTCGAAAATGTTGAGACAATATAGTCAGATCATTTTGAATCTAAAATCAGGTATCATCATTCGACTCAGCATGGTGAATTATCCCTGCTTAATTGCTTTTTGGAGTGATCACAGGTCAATTGGTTGAAGTCGTAAGCCCCAGAAAAAGTCTTATAACTCTTGAACGGAACAAGTTAGGAATGTCAGCTTTGTATCGATCGAAAGAGAACAATTTTCCGATTGATTAAACCAAAATAAGGCTAACTTAAAAAGAAAATAGTTCAGAATATCGTTTTCGAAACTTTTCATCAACAACTCATCTGATAAACTAATCGTCAACATATCCAACTTTGATATACCTCAATGATCCCAAATCTTCGCTCTTGAATAGTGACAACTACTACTTTGTAGCTTTTCTCATTTTTGAGTTGTTGCAAAAATATCAACGATTATTATATTTTTGAACAGACATTAGTGTTTTGAGATTTTCAAAGATTATCTCTCTAATCTCGAAAAGAAAGTGGGACAAATTTTTTAAGTCTACATTCTGAAAGTGAACCAAATTTTAATGGAAATCCATAGTTTTTGACTCATCGACAATACTTTCAAGTAGATGAAAAATAAAGGAAAAGTTCACTTGTTACTATATTATATAAAATTTCAAAGTTATTAATTCATATTTCTTTTTGTTTTTCACGCGCATTCTTAATTTATTATCATTATTCTCTTACGTTTAATTCTCTAAATCTTTAGTAAATTTTTCTTCTTATGTTACCTTTTACAATACTTATACATAATGCAAATGCAACACCATCACCACCGACAAATCACATATCATTAACACATTTTCTTGAAAATAATTTTCAATATCCATTACAATCATCATTTAATCGTCATGCACGTATACCATCATTATTATCAAATATATTTCTTTGGTTAGCTTTTTTATTTACTATTATTATATTACATATTAGTAAAGATGAAATAAGTACAACTGTAAGAATACTTTATGGTTTCATGATGTTATCAATTATAATTATGTGTTATATATTTATTTTATTGGAATCAAAAGGTTGTACAGAACAAATTTTACTTAAAAAACGTATTCAAATTGATATTATTAAACGTGAACTAGGTCTATTACAAAAAAATTCCAAATTAAATAATTATTTATCTGTAAAAGCTACAAATTATTATAATTCATTGAGACGAAAATACATCGATTATCAAGTATGAAAAAAGAAATTTTTCAAGCAAACATCGATCTTAATTTGTGCATCTTCAGAAAGAGAATATACTCGACTTTGTGAAACACGATTTAAAAGAAGCGTTGTGACAATCAAGATAAAAACAAGGGCGGCGCATGGGTTATGATTCTTTCTGCTTTTGAAAATAATCCACACGGGACTTCTTTTTCTGAAATCCCACTACTCTACGACTCCTGTCTTCAGTGATGATTAACGCCTCCGAGTAAAAAATTTGGCTTCTTCTTCCGCGTTGCAAACTGGAAATGTGTCCGAAAATAGATAAAATATAATCATCTCCCAGTGATTTGTAACAGTAGCTACATTGTGTTTCACATTTTAATTCTACAGGAGTTGTACTCACAGCGTTTTTTTCAACGATTTAGACTATCGTATTAAACTCGGATCGATTTAAGTTCTATATTGTGATATTCATTCGATTTCACACAAAATCATAGAATTCTCCTATGAGTTGTACGACAAATCCAAACATCGAATTAAGGTCAGCTAACATATCCTTATTATAGTTTATGCATAGTTTCTCACTTTCATCTAGTTTTTTTTTAACAAAACACTTTCAGACAAAAATAAAATACTTGTATCTGCTTTTATCATTGGAAATAATTTTCTTTCTCTCTCTCTCTTTCTCTTTGCTTTTTAGTTATATGATAAATCATTATGTGTACGTTTACAATCATTTTTCTATCGTAATATTCGTTTAATTGAAACTCCATTTAATATTCGTCAATATTATATAATTATTCCTGATTTTTCAATAGATAAAAATCATTTATGTCAAATATCATTTGAATTTACTTTAACAATTATTGGTCGTGATGCTGATATTGTGTATAATGATATAATACAAGAATTTCAATGTCTTGAAAATAAAGTCTTAACTTCAAGTAATGATAATAATATGAAATTATCTTCAATAAATAAATTAGCACGTTTACAACGACATATTTATTTACGATTTAATGATATAAAACAACAAGATTTATTATTTGGACAACAACGTACATGTCTTGTTTATGAAAATAAAATGAAAATATATTATCGATGGTTTTTAAATGAAAATATTTTTTGGATAATGACATGTATTGGTTTGTCATGGTTATTTCGTGCGATATCTGCATGTTTAATAACAAAAATTATTATACCTATTCATATTGAATTAGAAGGTGCTATGCCTTTACAATCATTTATAAATAATGATGAAAAAAATCTAATTAAAACAAAAATATCACAAAAAATTTAAATTTATTGTTTTGTTTTTTTCTGTTTATAAAGTAAAATTATATATGTTAGAAACAATTCTCAAGACATACATTAATATATATAATTTCATATAGGATCATGTTGAAATACTTACGTTTTTTCTGACAGCATCTATGTCAATTGTTGTATATTACGGTTGTTTTTTTATTATTCTTATTATTGTATGCTTATTATGAAAATCTATTGTTGTTTATCAATAGATGAGTATTGAAATTGAACCATATGTAATAGGTTCCGAGTTGTATCAACAATTCGGATCTGATGTTGACTAACTATGTATTCTGTGTAAAATGAATTTCAACAAAATATATTCTAATCAATTTTAGAAGGTTTCAACGACATTCTTGTGGTATCCGTTTAGCAGGTACTTTACAGTAAATATAGAGAAACATTAAAGTTGGTGTTCGTAACTATCAAAAGGTGTTCAATTTTCTGGCATTAATATTATCAGAATGCGAATCATCTGCTAAAGGTATATCTATATTTGATCACCTTTGATAAAAAGAATTATTCTTTTTTTATTTAATACTTTACTTCTTGAGAAACCTTAATGTATCGTCTCTTAAGTAGTTGACTTTGCAAATATTGAAAGTCATGTTCGTCAAGAACGATAAATTCCGACAAGGATTAAAAACAATTTTTTTTTTATTATTTGACTAATCATTATAAAATCTATGAATCATTTCATATCAAGTATAAAAAAAGCACACTTTTCTTCGTTTCCATCTATCAATTACCAACGCTTTTATAATTTCAAGTATGATGAATCATCAACAACACTAACTTAAACAATTATCATAATGTTCAATTGAATATCGATTATTACTTTTAAACAATCTTCATTTCATATAATCATTCATATATATATACGAGCTACAAATTGAATTGGTTCATTTAAAAACCAATCCAATAACTTTGTTTCTTTCTAACAGACAAAGATAAACATGAGTGATCGATAGAAAAAAAAAAAAAGAAAGAATACCATATTCTATTCACGTCTCTTTACAGTTATTATTTCATCGAGTACTTTTTTTTTTTACATATCATGTCGTTATTATTCATCATTTAAAAAACTATCGTTATGCATACGAGTGATACTACGACGAAACCAATTCTACCGAGTTGTATGTGTTCAATAAAATTGTACAAAATTCAAAAATAATATTTTTTTTCTAGTTGTTGTACAAGAAGAAGGTGCACGTAAAGTACTTGTCTATTTAAATATTCCTGAATTAAGAGTCAAACGAGCATTTCCAAATATTTTTAAATTTGTTCCATCAAATGGACATGAAAAAGAACTTGATTTTAAAAATCAGTAAGTTTTGTCATTAAATAAAGTAAATGATTTTAAAGAAAAAGAATAAACTATAGATCATTTACATTTTCAATAAATGTTCAAACAAAATTATATTCAATTTCAATTGCACGATTACCAGGAGAAATTCAACCTGAACGTTGTTCAATTATGGTTTGAAAAATAAAATTTTATTTTAAAAATAAAAAAAAAAAAAAAAACTTTTTCTTTATAGTATCAACGTGGTGGTTGTTGGATAACATTATTTAAATTAGAACCAATGTCTTGGATGAATAGAATTTGTGATAATTTTAATCCTGGATTAGATATCGAAGAAGATGATAATCAAACTCCAGAAGCATCAGCTCCTGTTGAAGATGTACAATTAAAAGATACTGATATGCCACCACCATTCAATTTAGTTCCGCTAGCTCCTCCTATACCACCTCGATCATCAACAAAAAAAGCACCAGCGCCACCACCACCACCAACAACAACTAATTAAATATTTTACTCAGATATTTATTGGTATTCTGAACAAAAAAAAAACTATCGTTTGAATATTTGTATTATGTATATATATATATACATGAGACACGACCGACAATATAAATATTTTGTTTTTGGTTTTATGTGTGTGTTTGTAAAACACAAGTTATATATAATATTCTTATTTCGAAATGTAATTAGGTAAAATAAAACAAAGAACATTGAAAAAAAAAATTTTCTTGTTATATATTAATATAAGAAATATCTTATCTAACCGATATCTGTATAGTACGTGGATATGGGTTAGTTTTTATCGAAACTGCATTTTCTTCATAGAAATATTAATTTTCAAGACTCAAACAAAGTCGATGGGAAATTTACAAGAGGTAGAATACGTCGATTCCAAAGTTTTCAGACTCAAACTAGGATGTTGCTCCGCAGATACGAGATATTTGTGCTCGGTCATTTGTATTCGATGACTAGTGCATCCTATGCATTTTTCAGACGAATTGTCTAAGAAGTATGTAGGATAGAGCTCATTGGATCAAGATTTTTCGAATACGATCAAGTCCGGGATCAACCCGACAGATTCCAATGCTAGGATTTTTGTCGAAAAAAAAATTCTATTTTAAAAATTAACAAATGTCATATCATATGATACAGTTTTCCATGCTAATTTCAAATATATCCTTGTTTTTCTCTTGAGATACTTCTGAGACAATAGCATAGATGAAAAAAGAGTTTTTGAAACTTGCATATCAGCGAAGAACTATTGATGCTAAGTGAATAGATGTGTTAAATAAAGAAGAATATTCTAAGCATGTATACTTTTTTCAATATGGAAACTGTAATAATAAAATTTTTAATACGGAACGATAAAGTAAAAAAGTTCTCTATGATTTAGTTCGTATGTCTTTCTACTTTCCTGTAAGATGAGAGAAACGTGGTCACTTTTTGCATCTAGAAGATTTTTCCAAACTCTTTTAAAGAACTAGAAAAAAATTTTTTTTTCAATCAAGAAGTTAGCTATTTGACATAATTGCAATCTAGAAAAATATCACATTCATTTTGTTTATCAAATATTTATATTATTGCCCATTATGCGATAGAATAATTAATATTATTACGGTTTCTGTTTTTTCTTGTATTGATTATTCAATGGAAAAAGATTGATCTCGCTTCACAGACACTGATATTTTAATTATGGATTTGTGTTTGATCAACGGAAATGAGTAAATAAATGCTAAGGATTGAGCGAGCAGCAAATCGATATCAATGAATAAGATAGCTATTTACTGTGTATTTCACATGGTAGTACATCATTAGACAATGTTTTTTTTTTCCTGGTAAAAAAAGTAACAATTTTCGATTGCTTATTTATTATAAGAATCAACATGTAGTAGCTAAACGACCTTCTCTTAAAGATTATATGTATATACATATAAGATTGTATTATGCTTTGTTAATATTGATAAATGCCGAGAATTTCTAACGTTATTTTGCAATAAGTCACTTATACAAATAACATCAATCAACATGATGACTAATAGATATGATCGAAATAATCTTGTTTACTATGTACAATCTGCTTTTTGAGATCAATTATTAATTAGAAGTGATTTTATTAAGATAATTTTAATATTTGAATGCTACAACCATTTAGATTAAAAGCTATACATGTTCAATTCGAATTGATCTTTCTATATCTCTTTAATACAATATTACTATCATATTATGTAATAACTCACTATTGTTTATTTATAATATAAACACACTAGATGCGACTGCTGTATTTGACGCAGAACAAACGATGTTAATAAACCATTTTCTATCTAGTTGATTAGTTGATACAAACTTCTCAGTGTACATTATAGTGGAGAAGAAAAATAAAACTTACATATGCCGTCTAACTACGTTATAATAATAATAGAACAGAAATAGGTCATAATGGTGCGTTCGTCTCTAAGAGCATGTGCTAAATCTACTGCTAAAATGAAAAGTTTGTTTTCTTTTAAATATATATATTAAAAGAAACCAAGAGAGAAAAAAGATTACTATGCACTCAAAATAATGCTATATAAAAAATAAATTAGTTTCATTAATTATCGAATAATATTCATAGTTTTGGTAGTTAGTCGTTTCAGAAGCGATGTATCATAACTGAAACAAGATATAAAAATTTTCATGTTAGATATTGTTTATGTTTCTTGTAAAATAGTACTTGTTGCTTTAAGTCGCGATCGAACTAGCAAGGGTAAGGGTGAGCTAATTCATTGCTTTGCCCTCAATGATTCTCTTGAGACTTGTGGTAAACATTTTATTATATGTATCAGTAAAAACACTAAAAACGTTAACTTAATCACTGACACAAGCAAAGGATATGCACTAATACTGCTGGTACTTGGAGGTAGAACAAAGTAAAACAAAAACCAGTTTGATTGTTCTCTATTGAGAAACCAATGATGCTATTTGTACATGAACTTCGTACCATAATTACTACAAAACTAAAACTTTATTTCCTTAGTTTCCACAGTAAAAAGTTTTGCTGTCAAAAAATTGTTTTCTGAAAAATTTCTCCGATGCGCATAGATTCTTCAAGTTCGTCTCTGAGGGTGTGTGATTATTAAGATGAAATCATCTTATCTTACGAGGGAAGATTTGCAAATAGAAATCACCAGTAGAGCTGAGGCTCGATAAAAACATTGAAAAGCCTGGAAGCATTCCTCCTCAAGTCCTATCATTGTTTTCTTGAACTTTTACATATGTTGAGGTATTCATGAACAACTAAAAAACTGTATTTTGATTTGACCCATTGCCTATATATAGGTCTTGTGATCATTTGAATTCTGCAAGTTTCAGTCAAAGAAAATAGTATTCTTTTTGAGGCATCGAACGTTGAAGGCAATCAGTTTTTTTATCTTCCCATACTCTACAAGATTTGTCTTTTGCACTTTCAATACTGGGGATGGTCGAAATTTCAGATCGAAATACTACCGTTTGAGTTTTTTTATGAATGCCATATCACAAGTAAAAAATCTAATAAAACAGAGCTAGCACCTAAGAATGAATTCTTCTAGGCTCTTGCTTTTCTTATTGAACTCTACTGATGAGCAAAATATCAGCTCGATCGATAATTCACACTTCAGGCCTGCTGTCGTTAGACATGTATGTTCTCGCTACTATTCATTCATTATATTTATGTCGTTTTTCATAAAGCTAAGAATCTTTTGCTAGTCTATCCGGTATGTTCATTTAATCGTACTGTACAAATCAATTCATGTTATATTTTGTCAATGACATATCATTACATTTTTGACTATCAGAATAAATATTTAAAAAAAAAACAAAATTCAACATTCCAAAATTCTAACTAATCATAATTATCAATTAACCAATTAATTAGATTTTATTTTAATTGTTCATTATCTGACAAAGCCATAACACAAGAAAGAAAGAAAATAAGGCAAACTAGAATATTTATATAGAGGAAAATAACACATAGACACATTTACAATAGACAAGGACACATACTAGTACATAGAATCTACACAAAATATTTAAAAAGAAAAAGATCTATTTGTTAACTATCAATTGCTGCTGCACAAATGTCACATATTTTATTTCGTCGTTTTTGACATGTACATTTATTTCGTTTTCTACCTGGTGTACTAGGTACAGCTGTTATCATAAGATCATCACTACGAATTCGTTTTGGTGTTGTTGCTACTGATGATCGTGTACGTTTTGGATTACGATTATTTGATGGTAATATTTCTAAAGTTGGCTTTTCTTCTACTCGAATCGGTGAAATAACTGCTCGACGTTGCGGTTGACGACGTCGACTATTATTTGTTGGAACAGGTAATGGTAATAATGGTTGATGATTAACAGGTGATGTTGATTGAATACGTTGTGTTGTTTTAGGTGGTGTTGTTGGAGATGTTTGCGGTAGAGGTGCTATTGCAAAACTTTTTTTTTGCTTTCGTACAATTGGTGGACGAGGTGGCTTTGAAATTAATGAATTCATTGATGATGATGATGGAATTGATGCCTAAGAAAAAAAAAATTCAATAGATAAATATTATCTATGTAAGAAATATTTTAACGAACCGATACAGTAACTGATGTCATCACGACATCTACAACGGTGATAGGATTATCAGTATTGATCGGTTCATTAGTTTTCTTTCCACGACCAGATCGAGTTTTTTTATTCAAAACAACATCGTCTTGTTTTTCTATTGGAATATCAATATCTTTTTTCACACGTCGACTACTACGAGTAGACATAGGTGGTTCCTGTTGTTGTTGTGGCAGTGGTTCTTGTTCAATTAAAGATGGTGTTATTATTGTTTCAATAGGTGATGAATTTTTAGATCGTCTATTTCGACCAATACGACGTTTCGGAGATGAAGGCTAATGTATTAAAAAAATAACAATTAAATACAATCAAAAATAAGAGAAGTTCATACTTGTATAATATCAACTGAAGCATCATTTGTATCGTCATTGCATTTTCGTTTTTTTGATTTTGTTATTGGTTTTTTCGGTGATGATACAATTATAGGTTCAGAGATTTCCAGTGATGCTTTCTTTTTACTACGTGATGGAGTAGCACGAACTTTAGCTGTTGGTGGATTCTGAAAATGAGTCAAAAGATCCTGTTAGCGCACTACTATGCGAGATGAAAATATCAAACACGATGAAACTGTAAACAAATTTTGGTTTTGGTTCCTTACTTACAAGGAAACTACTTTCAGTGGCATCAACTATTTCAGCGTATAATCAACTCACATGTAAGTCTGACAGACAAAATCTAAAATGGTTTGCTCACATCAGCATTTGACGCCAAGTTAGGACCAATGTACTGAATAATGGAGTTTCGATTTTTTATGACAAACTTACTATCTCTAGAAATTCAATACCTTGATGAAGGAATATTGTTCTCAACTGAAACTTGCAGGATAATCTACGAGTGATAAGACCTATCTTTAGGTAACTTTCCATGGAAAGTTTGTATTTTGATTTTCATTTCAGTAAGATCTACTTTTGCATTCAATATGAATTCAAACGGTGGGTGTCAGTTAGTGAATAGTTCTCTCAGTAATAACACATGTTATTGGCAAAAAATGTGACGCCATTGTCTAGTAGGGTCAATAAACTAGAGACGTCTGAGTCCTCGAACAGCCTCTCTAGTGAACTTTAATGTAGGTAACAACTCAGTTATTTACGAAACGAAAGGATTAATTTCACTATCGAAAGTGTAACGGCAAATATTGAAGTGGTCGTGTTACTCAGTAAATTTTGCATAACCCTTTATGGTACATGAATCGTGAGAATATGACATTAGATGCACGTTTTACACAACTATAAAAGATTTCACATTCAGTAAGTGTCCCTCCGGCTCTCAACGGACCATGTTGCTCATATCTATGCATGGCGTTTCTATGGTAGTGTTTGCCATGGTCTGTAGGGAGTGAAGATTTCTATTGTGTATATTTCAACATATTTTTTCGATTGTATTTCACAAAAGGAAGGAAATATCATTTAGCTTACTTGTTCAGTATTGATAATAGATTCGACGAGTTTTTTATTTCTAGTTGTTCTTTTCGAAGGTACTAAAATTTCTTCTTTTGGAATGAGAATTTCTTCTTGTTTTTTATTTCGATTACGTAATGAAGTTGTTCGTGTTGGTTTAACTTCTTCTTGCTGTTTTTCATCTTTCTTCTTATTTCTTCCACCACCTCGTGTTTTCTTTATTATTATTTCATTTTCTTGTTCAATCGGTGGCGGTGGTGGTGGTTCAAGTTGTGGAATAATATTAAGATTATCTTGCATAATTTTTTTTGGTCTACCACGCAACGGAGTTGTTTGTACTTGTTTAATAATATCAGGTAAAATTTCATTTTGTCGTTCAATGATAATTTCAACATTATCTTCAATAATTTCTTGTTTGGACTTTATTTGACGTTTTGATGAAACATATATTTCTTTTGTCACAATTATTTCTTCTTGTTGCTCGTTTAATATCGGTGGTGAAGTCTTCTTTTGACGTGTTTCTGATTCACCACGTGGAATACGTGGCGGACGACCAGCTGTACGTCCTACTTTAGCTCGTTGTGGAACAATTGCTGATGGAAGAGCAGCTGGAAGATCAATTGAATTTAGCATTAAAACTGGTGCAACTGATGGAGTAGCCACTAAGATAGAAAAACAAAAAAAAAAATATTTTTCGTTTTTTTGGAAAGAAAGATTTACTGGTAAGATTGATTGGAATAGGTGTAGTTGGACTTGTTTGATGTACTGGTGTACTACTAAGAACAGGAGCAAATTGTGATCGACGAGTATTATTAACGGGTGATAAATGTTGATCATTAGTATCGTTTGGAATTGATGGTTTAGCTCGAACAACATCAACTTTTCTATAAAAAAAAAACAAAATTATAAGTTTTTAATGCATCGAGTAATTATAGAATTTCTTTACAATGATGGAGATGAAGATTGTTTGTCTAAAATTTGTTGACGAAAGAAAGGTTCATTAAATGGCTAAATATAAAAAATTTCAAAGAGCATTTTTTACAATAAAATTATCATACTGTATTATTTTTTATTGCCACATCTTTGAGTCTATAAAAGAAAATAAACTTAGACAGTAAATTTCTTTATATTGCTTTTAAATGCTTACATATCCAAAAAATTATTTCTTATTGTTGAATCAACTGTATTTGTCGTTGTTTTACGTGATGTATAAGATTTACGTTGTTGAATTTTATTTAAAGATAGTTGAACATTAGTTTCAATCTGATTAAGATGATTTCGTAATTGATTAACAAAATCTTCATTATTATCATGAGATGATGTCAAAACTGAATAGAGTATTGGAGCGGACGATGATGCTGTTGCCATTATTTGATGAGCAATATACGAACGAAAACTGACATATAATATAATAGAGAAAGAACAAGAGAAAAAACGGAAACAAAAGACAAAAAAATGTCTTTGTTTCCCACAAATTAATATTATATGAGCCAATTGAATTGATACATTTATATTTAAAGATTTTTTTGTATCAAAAAATTGTTGGTTTTGGTTTTACAAGAATAATAAAATATTTTATTTGTGCAGTTTTATTTACCCTTCAGGTAGATGTCTCTCTACAGCGATTACATCGATAAATGTGTTTGTGCTTTCAGTGAGCATCGGTTGAGCCCAGTCAGTAGGGTAATTGTCAACAAATCAATATTTGCGTTTCAGTATGTTCACCGAAAGTATAGATCTGTAGTGTATGTAGTTGAAACCAATAGGTAGTATCATGAGCGAGTGACTCTCTTGCAAACTTGGAAACTTTTGTTTTTCTTTAGCAGAGTTTCACTGTTTTATTACTTCGAAAAAAAAATCAAGGTTATATTAGGGATTAACACATTAAACCGTATCGAATGATACAAAGCTCAAGAATTTGTCAAAAAAGGACGCTTCTTGAAAGAATATGGGCAAGAATGTTTGAGATATATTTCGCTAGAAAGTTTTTTTTGGAAAAAAAAGGTCTTCAGTATGATTTCCTGAATGATCTATGTGAGTATAATTAAACTTCAATCACGATCGGAAAAAATTTCTAAGCATAATTGATATTCACAAGAGTAAAATGAGTTCATATAGAGACAATCATTTTTCTAAATTTTCAATAACGGTCAAAATAATTAATTCTTATAGAGAGCACATTATAAAAGTGAGAACTAATCATTTATGGCAAGAAGAATAGTTATCATCGAGTCGTATCATACGAGCTAAAAATTACAGAACAACTTTTTAGTTGTTTAGTATATGTAAATCATATAGATAAATAAATATCTAATATTGTTGTTATTTGATTTGTAAACTTCATTGTATTTTTCATGGAACAGTTTAGATCAATTTTAAACTAATATTAATATTCGAGAGGATCTTTTTCTTTAATGGTATCTCCATATTTCTATCCATTATAAATTATTTTCTGTATGTCATTCTTCATTTTTAATAATTCTTGACATTAGTAAATCAATAATGACAGGAAAGAAATTTGACTAAATGACAAACATTTTTTAGTTTAAACTTTACTCTGGAAAATAATATGGTGAAATATATTGCAATGCTGTTAAAAACGAATCTATTAATGCAAAGAAAAAAGTACTTTATACCTTGATCCTTAGATCAAGATAGAAACCCTTCTTTTTGCGTTTATTCTAGCACGTCTCAGAAAAAGATCGAGACGATTTTATAATTTCTTCAAGAGATTTTAGAAAAGTAGCAGAAAGTGTTAATAAGTATCGATATGGCTTTTAGAAAATCGATATAACTAATACGAAGTTTTCAACATATATTCGTAGTTGTCACAATTTCTTTGTTAATGAAAAAAATATTATCGTTATCCAAAGATCAGTTTATTGAACGAAAATATTGCATTGATTTTTCAGTAGTACCGGGTAAACTGATGTTATTAAATCTCATGATAATTAACATTTATCAATGAAATCAGAAAAAAACCTGCTGTCCATATAGCCAAGTCGCCATTTATTCTGTCGGATTTTGAAACGAATATCGAAGCTTCTAAAAATATAAAAATTTTTCTTTTTTGTTATTTCACTGATTCTAAAAGTAAAAGACAACATATGAACATAGTAGAAATCATAGACCAGATAAGCTTTTTTTTTATTTCTTCTATAATGCTGATTATTAATACGTAAGCGAATGATATATGACAAGATCCGCCCAGAAAAATAATCGGAATTCAAAGATCGAACACGACGGCTGCATTTTTCTGGTTTCGATTAGAACTAATCATAAATATGAAGAGCTAACTACAAAAGACAATCATCGGATTCCTACTTGCAAGTTTTTATAACTAGAACAGGCATTATTCTGGAAGATTTTCGACGAAAATCCAGGAAGCTGGGCTCCGAAATTATCAGCTGAATCATGCGAATGCACATTTAATTCTCGCACTAGATATAATGGGAATATTCTATAAAAGTTACTTGTTGATTAAGGAGTATATAGAAAAAACTTCTCATTAAGTTTCTTCTTTTAACATAACGTCGCAATTCTATGTCCCATAGAATCCATTGTTGTTTTTTGTTAGAAAAACAAAAATGTCCAGTGCAAAATATATAAAAGAATTTGATTGGAGATGTTTCCTGAAGGCACAAAAACAAATCTTTGAACAAAAGGCATCCGAGAACTCTTTAGCAACTTTCTTTAATTTGAGACTGGAGTAAACCTCAAATTGCTAATTTAAGTTTTTTGACAAAAAAATAACGTATGAAAAATAACAGAAATCAGTAATTTACTCGTATGCATATTTGAAAATCATCACCAATAAACCAGATATGAGAGACAAAAGAAAACCGAGAAATATTATTTTGTTGGTAATACTATTTTTACAGTTTACGGTGGCAGTGGCTAATCGTTTTCGCCTTAATGATATGCTCTTACGATCATCCCCAAGACAGTAAATTTCTGATTTCTGAATTGCCTATGGAATAATAAAATTCGAAAGAACAGATCATTATATATATTTTTTAATTAATGTATTTCTAGTTCAGCCTCTTGTACACTGAATCAATTATTTTGATGTTACATAAAAGCCGTCGTGGTAACGTGCCGCTACATATATATATATCTGATTCTGGGAAACATCAAAAGTTGAGAATGAAAAAGGTCAAATAAGCATGCATTAGATACAAAAATTGTTACTCTCGTTGCGCAAGGGTTTACCTATGTTGTTTATTCTAAGAGTTTTTTGTAGTCTTCAGAAGACATTTAAGATCAAATTCTTTTATATATTTTTGTACTAGACATTTTGCTTTTTCTAATAAAAGAAAGATCAAAATCTCTACACTATTGCATTGTAATGTTGGGTCCAAAGAAAAACAATTCATGTAGAATTTTTCTCTCATTAGTTTATCAAAATAGTTTAATTGTTTTGTCTTGGATAGTTAACAATTGAATTTAGTAGAACAACTTGAACTAGATTTTCATTGATTTAATGTCTTTTCATTATGAAAAATATTTTTTCTTGTCTAATAAATATCACTTAACTATTTCGTTTATTATTGACTATATTAGATGAAATATAATGAATTAAGTAGTGACGCAGCCAGGAAACTCATCTCCCTCTAGAAATCATTGAGCTTCCTATAGAAATAAGGAGATCCTATATTATAGGCGAAGAAAATATTAGCTTTTCCACTTCAAAGAGATTCTGAGTTCTCTACAAATTTTTTTTCTGACTCTGCCGCTATTATAAAACTTAGTCTTTATTTTCAATTAATAAAAATAAATAATTTAATTTAATTTTAACTATTTTTGCGATTGATTAAATAAAAACACTGCTACAACTATTTCATCTGTATTAAATAATATAATGATTGAAGCATAGATTATTAATAATTCATATGAGAAATATTTTAAATCGATGTACTTTAACATTTATGTTGTTATTCTTATATTGAAATCCATAATGAATTTAAAGCATTCTTATCTTTAATTTTTATTTCTGGCTATTTCATTATTATTATTATTATTATATGTTTAATTGTAATGAGTATTCGAATATTTCAAAGTTGAATAAATAAAATTTATCTTTATACCATTAGATAAGATACTTAATTTGTAGTTTTTCTTCAAATATAATAAAAATCGATAAAAATATCCGAAGAAATAGACATGTTTCAAGACAAACTACATCGTAAAAGAAAAAGAAAACGCAAAATAATAAACAATTTTATTAGCCTCATTAGCCTTATATCTAATTTTCATGAACCCTTACGTGTTCATAAAGAGAATAAACCCTTCGAAGGTTTATTATTTGTTTTTATAAATGGTTGAAGAGTTTATTATCTTTCTAAATGTGCAAGAACCTAAGAAGATAAAACATATTATTATCAATCTTAAAAGGGTTCATGTAACTTTGATGTAGAAAGTTGATGAAGCTAATAAATGTTTTTTTGTTTTGGAACAATTTATTATTCTATGCCTTTATTGTTACAGTGTAGAATTGATTTAGTAAACATACAAAACGAATAAATTTTGATGAATATTCAAATAAATCATTGTTCAATAAAAATAAATTTATTGAACATAAATTTGATCCATGATTATGTTTGAATAACAAAACAAAAAAACAACTTATTTTAACATTTCAGATTATTTATTAATCTTATTTTCTTTTTGTTTTTTTGTTTATGAATACTTTACTAGTCAGGCAAAGAAAATTAGCAATGATAATAACTTGATTAAATCACAAAAAGAAAAAACAAAAAAGCACGATAGATCGTTCAGAGCAGCTTATCATGACATGTATCGTTCATAGACAATGTTTAATGTTTCTTTCGCAATATAGACTATGTCATTAGAACACATTCAGTACTTTTAAGAATCAAATATTTTCTTGGCGTTGATTGCATGTTGTTTATTCATGTGATCAGCATTTTAAAAAGGACAAAATCAATCAAAAATATTTTCAATTTAATTGCACGCGACACATAATTTTATTTCCATACGAAAAAATCTTTATACGATTCATGTCACATACAGAGACTGCTGATTTTATTTTTGTTCTAATTATAATAAAAGACACAATTGTGTCATTACGATGAAAAAAAAAAAGTAGCGAAGCATATAAAATGAAAGCAAAAAAGAAATCAAGATTATCAATAATTATACTCAGAGTAAACTATTCTCAAGCATAACAGAAATTCTAATCTTGTATTTATACAAACGAACCAAAAAAAAAAGAACAATAAATAAATAACTAATGGTTTCATTTAACCAAGTTTGGAATAAAATTCCAGGAATTGTAGTTATGTATAAGTGTTTTATCAAAATGAAAATAGAGAATACCTTTGTTTTCTTTTCATTATATTCGTACGAAAGCAGCAACTTCATTAACAATTCTAATGTTTAACTTAGTATTTAATATCGATATAATAATGACGATGACGATCATTTATTAAAAAAGAAAGAGAAAATAAATTATAATTTATAAAATATTCACTAGCGGCTGTTATAGAATAAAATTACCTTTACTATTATATTTTTGTCTCCTGCATTTCCCTCGTGATGTATAGTTGAATAGCAAAAAAAAAGAAAAGAAAAACATTTCTAAAGCAAAACATCAGTATTTTCAAGGACAAAATTTATTCAATTTACATCATGCTTCATTTATTATGTCACTATGCATATAATATATTGGAAAAAAAAGGAAAATTGTCAAATAATCAGGAAAAAAATTTTATTATCTGTGTCATTATCATTACTGACAATTTCAATAAACGTCTATTTATATGGTCTAATAGCGATAGTAATGAAATAATATCAACATCAATATAAATCTAATAAAATAATTGCTAACGAATGTATCTAACCGAAAAATATCGTGGAAATATTAAGAATCTAATCGATTTTATCACACGCTAAACTTAACTAAGTTGGAAACGATAATAAGAGAAAAAAAATTGTTCGTCATTTAATTAGAAAGAAAAAAAAATTCTTAAAAAGACATGTCTATCAAAAGAACGAGCGAAAAAACAGAGATTGATAGATTTTTCTTTTTTGCTACTATATATGTAGGGACGTTCTTTTCTTGTTGAATGCCACTTTAGTGCTCTTATTCTTGCATCAAATTATTTTTAGTAAAAGTAATGTAATGGGATATACGTCAAACGACAAAATACCATCAAAACTATTGCACTTCATGTTTTTTCTCTTCGCGTTCTTTTCAAACCGGAAATTACGTATACACGGTGATTCTTTTCTAACGTCACATAAATTGTTTCCCTTTTTTTACTATCCATCATGCGTACGCTTTTCAGTATCTACCTGTATAGAAGAGTATGTGTGTATATGCCGTTCTTTCCCGCTGTATGTACGCAATTTTTTCTTCTCGGCTCGAATAATGACAACTAATACTCGTAAGTTTCTCTTTTCTTCACATAATAGAAGCACCTACTATAGTATTGCGTGCTTGTACGTCGGCGTAAAACTGATGATAGGAAGTATGATAAGCGTCAGCTGATTAGACAGGGCCTAGGGTTCCTATTTTTTAGTTAATCATTTTCTTTTCACTGACGAAATCTTTTCATCTTTTTTTAAATGGATAAACATTATTAAAGTATGTTGAAATATGTCAGTAACAGCATCGAGAATTAAAATAAAATATACAAGGAATAGAAAGTATGATGCGATTTTATTTCATATGGATGAGTATTAAACGAGGAGAAAAAAAAAGATCTAAATAAGAAAAGAGTAAAGTAAAAAAAAAATATGATAAGTAGTTTTTTTTTTCTAGACTGTGGAAATCTATATTGTTTCATTTACGTATATTAGACATAACTAAGAGTGAATTATTTTTATCTATTAGTTGTTAACGTGTATGTACTAATTCAAATAACGCTTATACATGGCAACAACTGTCAAAAAACTTGAATGTCATCGTAAAAAAGAAAATTTTTTACGACAATTTCGAGATGAACAAAGTAAAGAATTGAAACAATTAACTGCAGCACAATTTATGGAAATTTGGAGTCATTATGATATTGATAGTAATAAGAAAATTTTAAGAAAATTTTTCATATAATTTAATTATTTAGGTAATGGTTATATTGAAGGTCATGAATTAGATAATCTACTTCAAGAACTTGCATCGTCTGTTAATTTAAGCGATACAAATTTAGATGTAAGTTGTGCGTTTTCTTTTTTTCTTTCCAGAATGTTTTTTATTTTTTTTATTCTATCTTATTATTCTTTTAGACGATCCCAGATACTATATTTCGAGAATTAAAAGAATGTTTTTTAGATGCTTATGATGAAAATGCAGATGGTCGTATTGAAATTGGAGAAGTAAGTTTGGTTGGAATTTTTTTTTTTTTTAAATCTTTTCTATTTGTTACATTTAATTTGGTTTAGTTAGCTGAAATATTACCTATGGAAGAAAATTTTCTTCTTCTTTTTCGTAAAGATAATCCATTGGAATCAAGTGTAGATTTTATGAGGGTATGGAAACAATTTGATATAGATTGTTCAGGTTATATTGAAGCTGATGAATTAAAACAATTTATTAAAACACTTTTAAATAAACGACAAGGAAATAAAGTAACCGAAGAAAAATTAATTGAATATACAGATTCTATTGTATGTAGACAGTTTATATATATAGTCTATTTGTTTTTAAATATGTATATTTTTGTAGCTACATATTTTTGATACAAATGGCGATGGAAAATTACAATTTAGTGAAATGACGAAGTAAGCAATAAAAAAATGAGAAAGAAAAAAAAACATAGCTGTTTTTTTGAAATATAATTATAGACTTTTACCTGTAAAAGAAAATTTTCTTTTACGGCCAATTTTCAAAGTAATTATTGTTTTTCCTATTTTCTTCACCAGAAAAAAAAAATGCTTTTAATCCTATTTTTAATATAGGGTTATTCATCTCTAACTTCACAAGATCTCGATAGAGTTTTTCAACTTTATGATAAAGTAAAATTTCATAAGAAAAAAAAAACTTTTTTTAAAAACATTTTTTCTTTTCTTATTAATTAAAAAAAAGGATGGTAATAACTTTATTGAAGAAGAAGAATTAGATGGTTTTGTCAAAGATCTTGTGGATCTTATTAGAAAGGTATTTTAATTTCAATTATATTTCATTTTCTTTTTTTGTTTTAATATTGTTCTTTTTTTTTTTCAAGGACTATGACAATGATGATTTACAACAATTTAAACGATCATTATTAAACGGATGTGATGTCAATCGGGATAAAAAAATTAGCAAAGCTGAACTTAAAATGGTTTTATTAGCATTAAGTCAATAACCTGATTCATTAAACGAACATTATAATTAAACACATTTTTTTGATTCTTTTGTTTTTCAATTGAATTGTCTTGCTTTTCCCAGTATTGTTTCTCTTTTCCATGTAATTTCAAGCATTAATATTCGATGATTTTAATATTATGTATGTCAGTAAAGTACAAAGTCTTTTAGCTGATTAAATTGACATTAAAAATGGTTTCGAGGAGAAATATTTCAATCTGTGAAAAAGCAGAAAAAAAGAAAAAAAAAACATAATCTTCGTTACGTTTTGTTTCAAAGAGAAAATTTCACACTAGTAAATGGAAGTTTAATATAATTAAAATTGCTATCAGAATAAAAAAACTGAGAAGATCAAGATTGGATTTTTTAAACCAAATCTACTACATATATCTCATTAATATTTTTATAAAAATAGAATATTAAATGTATTCTAAATGTGTTTATAAATGATCAATCAAAAATAATTTCTTTTTTTTCTTTGTATGTGTTGTATTTTTGACAGCAATAGTTCATTATTTGTTCATTCATTTCAAAATATTTTTTAAGGATTTCTAGATAAAATAATTAATTGACCTATTGTTTGAACTTCTCAAATGTTCTTTCTTTTATATATTTGACGAGATATTAAAATATTTCAATTAATATTTTTTTTTTGCTTTTAACTTCGCTTCAATTCATAATAAATAACAATCTAGTTTCAATAGTATATATCAACATGTTTGAGTCTAAATGACCGAAAAGTTCATCGGTCTTTAGTAATGAATTATATAAAATAAATCAGAATGTTCAATTAAGAAGAAAATTTATAATTGTCACAATTCTACAACTCGATGTGTAAAATACCAGTGAATTCACTTAGAACTTTCTGTTTTTCTCATTACTGATTTCAAAAGTAATATTATATAAAGCTACTCTATATATAATATACTATTGCAGTGGTTTCAATCAGCGATGAATACAAAAACAGGATAGTCCTACGTTTCAAAAGGATAAGCAAGATCGTTCACTGATCTCATCTGTTTTACTATGAGTCACATAAATCAACACTATGAATTGTTGATTAAATTTGAAAATTGATCTATCTCATTAAATTGAATAAGATATTGTTGACATTCAAACGTGAGTAATGATTACAAGTTTGGTATAACAAAAAAAAAAATGTGCTAACTTGATGAATATTTAAATTAGAAAATTGACCGACATACATCAATAATTAATCGATTAATAACTTTTGAAAAAAAGCTAACAAATAAAAATTTCTTGTTCTCATCTGGTATAGTTGTATCAATTCGTTTAATATATAAATACCTTCATAATCGGTAAAAAAAAAAGAAAATCGAACTCATCTTGATCTTTGAATTATTCTTTATCATTGTAGAAAATATTTCATTTAAATAACTTTAAAATTTTATGTGATATCACCTTAGATATAACAATGATTGATTAGGTGTTGATCTTTGTGTCATTCCGGTGGACACATCCTGTCGCAAATATAGAAGATCATTTTTATTTCAACATGCTCTATTAAAGCAAAATAGGCATAAATAAGTATTTTATTTCTTACTACCGTTTCAAAATATCTCTATCAATAAGACATATAATTCAATATATTTAAATCATATGTTACCAATATCTAATCATTTTACATAGTATTTTGTTGATTCATAGACCATATTTGAAAAAACATCTCTAATCGAAGATAAATTTTTCGTTTCATTTAATGAGAATTATTTCTTTATAAATCATTTGTTCTTTTATATGATTATCATGTTCTATACAAATGTTTTACTTTATAATTTCTTTTTTCGTTCTATTATTTAGTCAAGTTTATCATAAAGAGAAAGAAGTGCAATACTTATTTGATGATTTACTCTTAAGAAAAAAAAAAATGAAGTACTCTTCTGGTTCCGCTTATCTTCTAAATGTAAAAAAACAAAAATGTAACTTTATTACAATATCATTTGTTACATATAGATTATTTCAACTTCAGATATTTAACAATAAGAAATCTTATTCTAAAATATCGATCGTAACAGTTCCTATTTTCATTCAATTAAAGACAAATAAAAACAGATGAAATAAGATTCAGGAGTAATCTTTTAACTAGCGAAATTCCGACATTTTTTAGTTCTTCACTTTCATCTATAAAAATTAATTTCATATAGTATACTTTTATTTAGAAAAATAAACGAAAACAACTTAGAGACAAAAAGATTTCGGCATTTTTTCTATAAATATATTTGTATTTATATGGTACTCATGCAAAACGAATAGATACACACGCACAGGCTTGTGCACAGCTGTGTTCGTTCGCACATCGTCTTCATTCATATCTTGTCTATCTATATCGAGGGATGAAGCTAATTGTTATTGCTTACTATCCTAACAACAGTCACTTTTATTTCTTTTCTCTCAATCTTTTCATACTCGCTTACATCAACAACAGACGGATATCCGACTGACGACATGTTGTTTCCTCCTTATTGTGGATAATTGTGCAGAAGAGAGAATACATACACACACAAACTCATTGGAATAACAACAATTGATATTTATCCATTTGTTTATTTTGACTTTTGTTGGTACAAACGAGAAAGCGATTCATCAAAACATATATATATAAAAGAGAAGCAGCAGTCTAATATATATGATTAACAACGAACAGATACTCGCATGTATATACAAGGGTATCATAATCATCATCAGAAACAGATGAAAATCTTTCAACACAATGATTGGTGACAAGAAGTCTATTCTTATATTTATGATGATACAGATGGACAAATCTCAAAAAGAAAAAAAAAATTGATTGTCATTTTCTTTCTTTTTGTGTGTGTGTGTGTGTATGTAACTGTTTACAAGAAGTAAACATAAGAACTATCGACTATTTGATTTACTTGAGAATAATGATTCGCATTATACATTAATTTATTGCTTTTCATGACAGAAAAAAAAAAGAGTTGTAAAACTAGACAAGAACATATTTCTTATCAGTTTACATCTGACCGATCATTTTTCTTGTTGAGATTAAGTTTTTTTTTCATTGGTTACAATGTTATTATTATAATATATGTATGTATATATATATATACGTGAATATATATTAAAAAAAAAAGAAAACAAACGGGCAAAAAACATGCTCTCACTGACTAGTCGTCAAATATAGAATAAAGTGGCACATAGATACAAAACAAAAAAAAAAAGACAAAGAAAAAAAAAAATTCATACACGAAATGTTTCTCGATTAGTTATCGTTAATACAGAATTAACATTTGTTGTTGATGTTGATGATGTTTTATTATTTCCAATAAGATTATCAATTGTAAATGAAATTTTTGATTTTTTATTATTATGAATCATTGGTATTGTTGATGTTGGTGGTGGTGGAGGAAGTAAAGGTAATGGTGGTGGTAATAATGGAAAACATCTTTTTATTGGTGATGATGTCGGAACAAATGGAAATGGTATTGGAGGATATGATGGTGGCGCTCCTCCAGTTGATTGCATTATAGGTCCATGATGAAAACATGCTGAATGATGATGATGATGATGATGATTTAAACGTTTAAAACGTTTACGACGACGTAAAAATGAACCATTATCAAACATATTTTCACTAGCAGGATCTAATGTCCAATAATTTCCTTTTCCTAAATATAATTTTATAATAATACCAGTGAATTTCTTTTTGTTTTTTGTTCTTACCTGGATTTCCTGGTGAACGTGGAATTTTTAAAAAACAATCATTTAAACTTAAATTATGACGTATTGAATTTTGCCATGCTGGAAAACGTTCTTTATAATATGGAAAACGATTCATTATAAATTCACATATACCACTTAATGTTAAACGACGTGATGGTGATTGTAATATTGCCATTGTTATTAATGCTATATATGAATAAGGTGGCTTAACAATATGTTGTTTAGTTGATGATGATGATTTCTGCGTGGAAGAATTTGTATGCTCATCTTCTATGCCACCACATAATGATGATGTTGGTGAATGTGGACTTGAATCAATTGAATGATTTGGTGATGATGATGAAGTTGATGATGACGATGTATGATGAGATGAATCAATACATAAGCTACTATTACCATTAAGACTTACAACATCAACAAGTAATTCATCATCAATTGATGTTGTTGTTGTTTCAATTTTATTTGTCATGAGTAGTTAAAATGATTTGTTTTGTTTTTTTTTTGTATTTGTTGTTTTTGTTTTAAAGGAATGTTAATTAAATGAAAAAGTTTTTTGACAATTAAAAAAGGAAAAAGACATCGATAAAGAAGAGAAAATTATATATGTAAGTAAGCAAACAACTGACGAATGATAATAATAATAATAAATATATATATATATATATGTAAAAGATCTTTTTTCCTAAAAGTGTCTTATGTTATTCTATGATTGTTATGAGAAAAGTTTTCTCTCTCTCTCTCTCTCCTCTATTTCGCTTTCTCTTTTTTCTCACCTTCACAGACGACTGATCTGCTTGGCTATTTCCGATGGGGTAATGCTGACTGTTTGCTGCTCATTTCCGTTCGTTGTCGTCATTTTCAAGAGAGCGCGTTTGCGAGAGAGAAGGATCGATTTACGATCGGCAATGAAAGAAAGAGAGAAAAAGAAAAAATATTATCGTAACGGCCAATCCCATCATCTCTCTCATGTATGTATGTGTAGATTGACATGTGAAAGTATTCTTTCTGCGAACATACACACACATAAATAGAACCAATCAACAATCGAAGAAAATGTTATCGAAAACGAGCGCGAGTGTGCAATAAAAAAACGATAGAGACTGTGTCATTCTTGCGTTTTTTTTTCCCTTTCTTGCTTTCTCTTATTGTAGACGAACAACTGCTAAGTAAATATTTTGAGTATTCATGCAAAGATCTTTCTCGTTTTTTCAATCATAATCATCATTACCATACCATTAAATCGTAATAGTGATATTGAAAAAAAAAGAAGAAAAAAAAAAAATGAAACACAACAGAGATTTCTTCTTTTTTTTATTAGTATATTGCAAAAAAAGAAAGAAATAAAGTGTGTATGTATAGTAACAAGCCTCGGGCTGTTTCTTCAATAGATGCAGGTGATGAGGTGATAATATGACCTTATCGATGTCTGTATGTGTATATAAATATATATATATATGTTGATATTGTGATGCCGATGAAAAGCCACTCAGATGTTGTCGACAAAACACCAAAAGAGACGATAGCCGACTGTATATATGTATACATCTTTGACATTAACTTGTAACTTCTATTCATTTTAAAGTCTATGAACAAAAATGTTAACAAATTTGTCATCGTCAAAATAAATGTAAATCCATATTTTTTTGGAATAAAATAAACAGAAGAAGAAAAAAAAATAACAATTTAACTTTTTGAATTGATCATTAAAAGTTAATCGTTATATCCATGGATAAGAAAACATCTTATTTAAAGAATTTTCTTCATCAATCTATATATTTTCAAAACAGATTCAATCAATCATTTAAATATTATCCAATAAAAAACTCAATATTCAATATATCTATTATATTCACAATATACATTGTATAAATACTTATATATATTGTTCTATTCATAAATAAAAATCAATCGATTAATATCAGGTGTATTTATTTTATAACTTTCTATATTCTTTTTCTTTTTCCATACTTGAAGTATTCATATAAAATGATCTCATGTTATATTATTATCCAATCGAACAAATCAAAAACTTAATTATGCCATTCGTGCGTAAGAGACAAGTTCATTCTTGTCATTACTTTCTTTCTTTCTTTTTTCGATTAGTTGACTAGTTATTGCTGATCATATTAATCCATTGTAAGCAATCTGTCTATCAATAAGCGCATGAACAGGTAGCTTTATAAAGTTGTGCCGGAAATGTTGTGCTGTTCACACATATATCTATCGTTTTGACTACGTACGCAAACGAGAGACAGAGAGACAGAGAGAAGCAGTAAACACTCAAGAAGAAACAGAATCGTTTTGAAGTGGAAAATGGAGTCTCTCTACATCGACAAAAGAGAAAGAAATCAATCTATATTGGATCTCGGTTGCTTTCTTTCTTTTTTTAGATGAAGTGATGAATATGGTCACTTATTTCCTTCTTCTATAACGGATGGATGGATTATTACAAAAAAAGAAAAGAAAAGCTGAATAGAGTCCGGATGTCCGTCATACATACATAGGAGGGCGTTTAGGTTAAAGAAATTGATTCTCACCAGGTATTTCCTGTTTTTTTTATTCAAAAGGTGTTTTTTTTCAAATGAATAAATAACAACACTTTATTTTTTCTTCTTCTTTGTTTTATATTCATCGATTAAAGCACAAAAAAAAAGTCACTAGATACTTATATTAGTAGTGAACTGGAAAAACGCCATATGACAATGAAAAAGAAAAAAAGGGAAAAAAGATAATTGAACATGTAAAAGAAAGTCGCGTGCGACCGATGCCATTTGTTAAAGATGTTTTTTATGTGTGTAAGATGATCTGTTTTCTATATATGTGTTCATCATCATCATCTTTTTTTCTTATTCTTATTATTATTGTTTTTTTTTGACTATGTCGGACAACTACAAACGTCTTATACCTATTCTCATGATTATAATTGAATTTCCGTATCGAAGAAGCCAATAGAACAAATAAGATAAGATTTTATGTGTATGCATGCGCATTGACTGACTCTTTTTTTCTTTTTTTTTTCTTAAGATGCGAGAAAGAGGTTGTAAAACTCTTCAATAGAAACACAGTCGATTATATCAACAGAAAGATATAACGAAGACTTGTATACAAACAATGTATTTCATCAATATATATATATATATTTTAATTAAAGATTGCCGACTTCAATGTAATAACTTTATATTCTTACGAAATGCCGACATGAAATCTAATTGATTACTAACACGATTGTCTATAATTGCTATTTATTGTAACGACTAATGAGTGTAAGGAGCTGTCACCTAGTGCAAATGTATGTTTCTAGTTGATATTGAGGGTGGAGCAACTGTCTCCTATCTTCTTTTCACTCCGGATGTTATCGATCTCATGTATGCACCATTTGTCTCTCTCTCTCTCTCTCTCTCCATATATATATGTGTGTATGTCATGTATACAGTACTGATAACTTATGATAGCGCTAATTGCAAATTGATTTTGCTAATAATGATCAAGAGGCATGGTTGAATCTCTCATGCTATTTATTATAAGTTTATAAATAAATGAGATGAAAATAAATACATACTGTTTTCCATAGTATTATTAAACTGATGATTGTCAAAAGAAATATTTAATTATGATACAAAAGATTTTTTTTTTGTTTTGATTATTTTAATTGAAGACTGATTCAAGAAGTGAAATGATTGATACCAATATATTTATTGATTGTACAAAGATTTGAAAGAATTATCTTCAAATGCTTTTTTATTTTTGTTTAAAATATTTTATGATCTTATTTTCAATATGATAGAAAATTTCAATGAGTTTGCTGATATAGGAGAATTTTATGATAATTATCTTGATATGCACATATAGAGATAGTGACTTCTTAGATATTTTTTATTTACAGAATTCGATGAAAGCATTTTTCCATAACAGTGAAAAAGCATAGAATGTCACAAGATGGTCTTCTTCGTCCTGGCCTGCATCCTGTAAGACACAGTTTCACTCATGAGGGAACCTCTTCAGCTGTCTCCTTCCGATTTCAATGATTTTTTTTACGTATCAACACTGCATAGTGTTCGAATAAAACCTATAAAACAATTTAGGTTTGTATTGAGATTTGATTAAGCTATAGAATTTTGAATTGAAAACTTTGTGCATATAGAGAACTCAATTAGATTAGCTTACATAAAAAAGCCATCCAAAATTTTGAACAAAGTTTCTTAGAAATATGAGACTTTCAAAATAAAGATACAACATGGATTTTTTGAAAGCTTCATATCTCGAAGAAAATTTTTGCAATACTTGTGAATTTTTTTATGGAAGCGATTCTAGTTGAGTGGTCTCTATGCGTAAAGTTTTAGATCAAAACTCGAAAATAGGCATATTAAAAGTGTGATAGTCGAGTCAAATCTCAATAGGAACCAACATTATTTTAGGGTTCATATTAGAACACTATGTAGTACCAATAGACAAAAAAAAAACATTAAAATCGAAAGGTAGCAGCTGAACAGGCTCTGTTTTCAGTCATTCTGCTTTGGAACACAATTTTTTGCATTGCCTTTTTTTGACAAGGTTATTAAACCTGCCTGTATACGTATAGGATACAATCTTAAATATCATAGATCTTCTATTGATACAATAATCATGTTAATAAATCTTATCACAGGTTTTTCATTAGAAATGAAATGAAAAATAAATATAGACAGACGTACAACAAAAAGAGATAAGTTTTCTTTTCTTTTTTTTTTGCTTTTTCTTGAATTTCTCATAAGAACGAATAAATAATGTTGTCAATTTGGCTTAGTGATAAACATGCTCGTCTTTAAGTAAATGCTAATTCAGTTGAGCTAAATGATCTTTCTACTAAAGCACTAATCGCTGGTATGGCATATACTCTTCTGGCTGCTATTAATAATAATGCAGAAACCCCAATGAGTGCTACTCCTACACCGAAACTTCATTGAATCACGAGCAATTAGGTGACTTAGGTATTCTACAGGAGTCTCAAATATTATCCTTCAGTTCTGCAAGATACGAGTCCTATGAAATTCTTTGCTAAAGAACGATAAATGACCATAAACTTGTTCTATAGTATTAGTTAATTAATATTCATCTTAAGAAAAATGACACAATACAAACTACGTTTATTAAAAATAAAGATTTAGAAAAATCAATGACACAAAGTTTATTGAAAACTGAATGTCAATTTTTATAGATACTAATTATCACATCAACACTACTCGCTGAAACAGTGTCTCGATTGTAGAGCCAATATGAAATAGTATATGTTTGACCAACAATTGTTGAAAACATTTGAATTAAATAATCACAATTTCCTACTGCTCCATCATAATAAAAATAACTTCCTGATTGAGCTTGGTACGTATAACTCATACATTCAAAACTATCTGAGTTTTGCTTAACTGCACCAGCACTTATTGCACCGTTCGGATTAAAATAAGTCCATGATGACAGTGTACCAGTTTCAAAATCATTATTTGCAATTAATTCAATAGTCGGTGCTGCTATACTTCGTACAGACACAGCATCAAGTGCAAAACAACCTTCATCTTCACGAAAAGCGAATGCAATACGAGTTCTATTTGAAGTAGCTGTATAAGTATATGTATATTGTGTATATGGTGGTATATCTGGACAATTATTACAATGATAAAGTACAGTAACGCCTTTCCATCCAGAAGTACATGTATTGGAAGTAATTGCTTAAAACAAAAAGTTAAATATAGTATTGTTTTTACACGATGAATAGCTACTAATAGTTGTTACAATTGTAGTAAGCCCACTCCCTGCTCTATAGAAAAGCCAAGGTCTTCTATTATTTTGAAATGTACAAAGTTTTCACGGAGGTGTTCTATTATGTCTTGTTAATTTTTATAATTTTTAAATTTGGAAGAAAGTTTCTAGGGCTTTAAAAGACCAGAAATAATATTGATCTCAATCTTCTAAGGATGTCCGCCTCTTTCCTCGCTGAAATTTTTTTTTGTGGCCATTGTGTACTTTCAAGTAGTATCTATCTACTGAGTATATTTTGAAACCCAACAATTGTCTTTAAAGGTTAAAAAATTCGAAAAGAAATCAAATTTACGTAACGAGAACAGCTAAAATTGTATATTGCTTTGTGTTTTTCTCAAAATCAAAGTTTTAACAAAAAAAGTACGGTTTCGCCTCCTTTTCTTCGACATGGTAAGAGGAATCAAGCTGACATTGTTTTCACACATTCTAGTCACTATTTGGGGTGGGTATTTTTCTTTTCTTTTCAAGACTTATTAATCCGATGATTTTTGGCAGCTTTCACAAGATTTCTTCCAGTAATAAAAACAAGTTTTGTTTTTTAAGAATAGACTCGATATTTTCACTCTCTATTGAGATGACAAGACATAAAAGAAATTAAAAAACATATCCATCCCAAACAGTATCTTGTACCTGTAAAAAAGTTTTCCGTTCAACCAAACATACCGTCTGGAAGAAACGGGGGCGAAAATTAGAGGCTATTTCCCTCATTGTCACTCTATTATCTCATAGAAGACAGCATCAAGGAATTATGAGTCAATGGGAACTTTTACTCTACTCATCAAGATCTACCTGCCCTGAAAATTTCAAATTTTTCTGATATGTCGTTCTCAAAAAACGCCGAAAAGATGGGCGCTATCATTTAGATTTCCAGCTCAAAACCCTGAAAACTAGACATATCTTGATATAAATATACTAATTGAAGTTCCATTTTTTTGAGTAATCATTTAATTAATGGGAAGTCTTTAGTATATCTGGCGCATTGTGCTTTCAAGGAGGCTTCTATTATGAGAGTGGAAAGTTAGCTGTCACAGCTAACTATAATGATATATAAATTAAGTTCCAAATAAATCTTATTGCAAAAACTTCACACTATGTTTGATTTTCATTATAATCATTATATTAAGCTATATCTATTGCTTATAATATGGAATATGACAGTCGAATTACACAATATAGTATCAATGCCGAAATATTGTACGCACAGTAAGAATTCGTGTGTACATTTCGATAAAGACTTCCGTCATTTTTAAGATAAAAAATTCTATTGATCTTATTTTTATGTTGTTTCGTTTTAGGAGGAAATTAGTGCCAAGATTGCTAGCATCAATCAATGACCGGAAAAACGAATAAAGACATGACACTGACGGAAAAAATTTTTATTTTACTGAGCTATTCTACATTGCTGCAGACCAGATCCAGAATTTTGTTAACCATGAAGATCTGTAGCAATTAAATACTTACGAGGGAACACCCCCAGATGAAGCTCCACTTTTGACGTGATATTTTGGCCATATGTAGGCCTCATAGTCCCTAGAATACTCTGAAAGTTTCAGCCAAAACGAATGTTCCCTTCTTGAGACATTGAAGTTTAAAAAAATAGTCACCTATCACAGGCAGTGCGCATAGATTGGATATATTGTAAGTTGAATATCTCAAGAAGGGAACATTCGTTCTGGCTGAAACTTTCAGGATATTCTAGGGACTATGAGAGCTGCTTATGGACAAAATTTCAGCTCGAAATTCCATCATTCGATTTGCCTCGAAGTACCTTCCATAGGGTAAAAAACTCATTAAAACGGTCGTAACTCGACTCAAGACGCCTAGAAACCCAAACTCTTCTGGACCTTTTTCTAGCCTCACCAAGGCCTACATAGGGCCAAAATATCACGTCAAAAGCGGAGCTTCACCTGGGGGTGTTCTCTCGTTAGTCCAACATCAAATGTATAGATTAAAGGATAAGACTTTCTAATAAATCTATTCAATCATATCATAATCCCCTTAGTATGATCGGTTTCTCATAGAAAAATGGGTTGTTACTTTTAAATACGAGCAAAGCATATGAAAAATTTCAATATAGATTCCAATTTACTCTTTTGTATAGTGACGGCTACACCTTGTTAACTCATCTTGAAAGGCAAAGTTTCAAAATATACTTGCGAAAATCTACATACTTGCTGTCAATGGGGTAGGGCTTGATGTACCCATGTAAAAGAAAAGTGAACCAAAAGTTACTTTTTATCACTTTTACTAGTAATAAAGTAACTTTTCTTACTATTTTTCATTTTTTATAGTACTTTTTGATAATTTTTCCACTTTCTATAGTACTTTCTCATACTTTTCCTACTTTCAAAAAGTATGAAAAGTACTTAAAAAGGTTCACTTATAAGTACTTTGTCCTGCTTAAAACATACTATTGAAAGTACTTAATAGTCACTTTTTTGGGTAAAAATTTTTACATGGGTAGTTTCAGTTGTTGTTGTAGTAGCTGTGGTTGTTGATGCTGTTGTTGTTGTCATCATTGATGTTGTAGTCACTAAGGTTATTGTGCCTAAACAAAAAGACATGCAAATATTGATCTTTTTTTGCAAATGATTGTATATGCACTTGCATTACTACTGACAGTCGTTGCCGCTATTCATGAAAAAACAAATAACAAACGTAAAAGATTCAAGAGAATAGTTCTTCATACTTATTGACATAGAACAGTTTGCCTTACCCATAATAAGTACTGCGATCAAGGCTCCTAAACTTGCGAAAAGTAAGGCTAAGAGTATGCTTGTTAGTAAACAGCACAAGGGGGAACAACATGAACAATGAAAAATCCAGCATCCTCTTCGGCGGCGACGATGACGCCGTTGTTTTCTCTCATTATTTTCCTCTTTATCGCAGTCGATGAGATATGTTATGCGACCATTATGATCGACTGAAGATGCATTCGATGTTGCGTGCCATGGGTTGGTTCTTGTATGATAATTAGGAATTGAATTAGTTGTACTTGTTGAAAGTTTTTCCAAATCGCTGAAATCAAAATCAGTTAAGTCGTTCTCGAGATATAGTGGTAACATTGACCCAATTTTTTATGATCTCGAATTTCAGAGCTTTTCGCAAAACTTCAATAAAAAGTCATAGGTTCATTATTTTTTGATGCGGCTTGCACAGAACATCATTAAACAGTTGTGTCTATCACATATATTAGAATGAATGAGATCGGAGACATAGGATTGAGCACTGTCTAGTGCGTTCGGTCGTCGCTTACGTGCAATGGCTCTTAAGTATCACCTTGTTTGTTTTCGATTTCTTTTTAGAAAACACCTCTGGGACTATCTCCATCAAAACCACGACCAGCAACACATTTTGAAAAAAATTATCGATCAAAAATGAAGTACAATAAAAAGAAGTCATAATTCTTTTCATATTTTTTTCTGTAATCATATTTATTTGTTAATTTTTTTGTTGATCGTAAATTTTATTTCAAAATAAATTTAATGATCGAGACAAGCGTCAGTATTCACAAATAGACTTGATTCATGTAAAAGAAATTGCGACGAAACAAACTCAAATACAATAAGATGAAAATTAAAGGAGAATTCATTCTATCAAGCTGTCATTTTGTACTGTATTGCCAATTACCATTGCATGCTGAAGCCATTAAAGACTATCTTTGTTTCTATTGGCCAGATTGTATCGATTATTTCTCGGTTCTAATCACTTTTTTAGAAAAAAGTAAAAACACAGGTCGATAGAGAAATTTTTTTTCTATCTTATAGTATAAAGAAAGTCTCGGCCCATTTAATTTTCTAGGAGATCGTCACGCGTAGTGCATTTGATATTGATTCGCTTAAGACGCTATGCTTTTTTCGCTATGTCGGCTCACTAAATTGTAAAAGATTATTATAGCAGATATGTTGAACGAGAATAAGATAGGGAAATATTATCATGCGTTCGTCCGTTCCTTTCGTTGTTGATTGAGATAAAATTAGATACTGATTCTATAAACAACGAGAAAAGTTCTCAAAGCAATAACAATATTGAAAATACATTTTCATTAAATCAATTTTATTTGGACAAATTTTTCTTAATTCTTTCATCATTACTCGAATATCACAAATGTTTATTTGATGAAAATGAATTAATCTTATTCTTAAATAAATTATTTATCTTCATCTCAAATTATTTTTGTTCATTTACTCATGCATCGTTGTAAATGGCTTTGATGATTCACTATCGTTTATGAAATCCCTGATCTATCAAATAATGCAGATTATTTTACTCGACATATAGAAATAGATTGATTACAAGATAGTAAAAATTTTTATTTTATCTGTAAAATAAAATTTAATGAGATTTTCTTTTTAAAGTTTCATGATTAGATGATCATGATGCAGGTCCTTGTTTATTAACTAGTGATAAAATATGTGATTTTTGTAAAATAAAACAATGCTTGGTTCAACAGCAACAACAAATCGTGATTATCTATTATTCAGATTAAAACGAATAATAATTAATTGTTATAAAATCTCTGAAGATATTCGTAGATTATTTTCTTTTGTGTGATGTTAACTTATCATCCTGGCGCTCGTTTAGCTATGAATGATCTTGATCAAAATGCATTCACTCTTCGGTAAAAAAAGATTTTTTTTTCTTTTTTTTTTTGCGGGGAGCCCTGGTTGAATGGGGTACGTCTCTGACTTGGATCCAGAGCGTATGAGGTTCGATTCCTCTTCCCCGAACAAAGCACACTGTTTAATCATGTTGTATAAGTTTACCGGCTATTGTCTTNTAAATTGGTATAAATCATTTCACTTCTTGAATCAGTCTTCAATTAAAATAATCAAAATAAAAAACATCTTTTGTATCATAATTAAATATTTCTTTTGACAATCATCAGTTTAATAATGCTATAGAAAACAGTATGCATTTATTTTCATCTTATATATTTATAAACTTATAATAAATAGCATGAAAGATTCAGCCATGTCTCTTGATGATTATTAGTAAAATCAACTTGCAATTAGTGCTATCATAAGTTATCAGTACTGTATACATGACATACATACATATATATATGGAGAGAGAGAGACAAATGTTGCATACATGAGATCGATAACATCCGGAGTGAAAAGAAGATAGGAGACAGTTGCTTCATCCTCAATATCAACTAGAAACATACATTTGCACTAGGTGACAGCTCCTTAGACTCATTAATCGTTACAATAAATGGCAACTATAAATAATAGCGTTAGCAAGCAGTTAGATTTCATGTCGGCATTTCGTAAGAATATAAAGTTATTACATTGAAGTCGGCAATCTTTAATTAAAATATATATTGATGAAATACATTGGTTGTATACAAGTCTTCAATATTCTTTTTCTCTTCCAATAATAGATTATGTCTATCAAAGTGATTTACAAATTCTTACTCGCCTCTTAAGAAAAAAAGGAAAAGAAGAAAAGAGTCAATGTGCATGCCTACACACAAAACCATATTCTATTTGTTCTATTCGTTTTTTGGTACAGAAATTCAATTATAATCATGAAAATAGGTATATAGCGTTTGTAGCTGTCCGACATAGTTAAAAAAGAATAAGAATAAGAATAGAAAAAAAAAGATGACATGTATAGAAAATAGATGATCTTACACACATAGCTTTAACAAACGGCATTGGTCGCACACCATTTTCTTTTACATATTCAATTATCTTTTTTCCCTTGTCGTTTTCATTTTCATATGACGTATGTGTATCATTCGAATGAGTTTTGTTAAAGGATGAGGTGTTGAATATCGGTAAAAATTTGTTTTTATTATTTAAAATACAAACAACATTATTCTATATTAATTTAATTTAATAGACGCTACATAGTAACATGTACATCATGTTGGGTAGAAATTCATTTAGAAGGTTAATTAAAATGTCTTCATACCATTCTTTCTACAATGAGCGGTCCAACACAATCGATTACAAATGTTTCATAAGAACGAACTTTAATTTTTTTAGTTCTCTGTTAATATTTATAATCTGGATTGTTATTATTATAGCCATCTCACAACAAAAAAAAAACGGTTCTTTACTATGGATAAAATTTGTCTCATTGTTGTACGTGTCATGTTCCTTTTCTTCTTTCTTTAAATGTAAATATTTCATGATGCTCAGAAAAAAAAAGACATGTCTGTTGTTGTTACTGATTTTTTAGTGTCTTTACTTGACTGTTATTATTATTTTTCTTCCCTTTTATTTGTACTCTGTATATACATATATAAATAAAAGATATAGACGAATTTCATTTTTTTTGTAGAATATTTGTTTGTCAAAAAAAACAAGGATATCATCAGAATTTAAAGTTGAAACAATTAAAGAAGGAAATAGTTGTGTTTTGTTTTGTTTTGAAATATTGGCTCAATAATCAATCAAATGTAGGACAATGCGCCTTCGTTGATTATATGGATAAGAGGTTAAGGTGGTTTTGGAATAAATGAATAATACTTAAAGTTCATAATTAGAACTGTCTTGATTAAAAATCAGATAAAATGAGAAAAATATGATAGTCATAATAAGAAATTTGTTGTTAAAAACAGTCCTTTACTCTAGATTTTGTGATAATAGTGGCATGTTGGTATCAAATAAATTTGATGTTCTTATTTTCGGTGTGACTGGTTATACTGGTCAATATGTCATCGAAGAAATGGCAAACTAATTTAGTTTTAAATGGGGTGTAACTGGAAGAACAGTTAATAAATGAAAACAAATTCTTCAATGAATCTCAAGCATCACAGGTATCTAAACTATTAAGAAAAAAAATTCTACTTGACTAAAAGATCAATGTAAATCTAATTCTAATATTCTATAGATATTGTAAATCTAAGTTCACATGTTGATACAATTGGTGTAACTATTACGAATAAACAATCATTAATTGATATGTATGCTCGAACAAAAGTTTTGGTTAATCATGTTGAATCAGTATGTAAACAAAAGTAGGTTTTGCATTTTTTTCAATAAAATAGTTTTTTTTAGTATCGTCTTTACGATGAACCTGTATGTAGTACAAGCTTGTCTTGAAGCATGTATACATTATATTCATATATGTGATGAATCAAAAATAAAATAAATAAATAAATAATGAGGTATTCTATGAAGCTATTGTAGTTTGTTGAAACAATGCAATTATGATATAATAGCCAAGCTGTTGAACGCGAAATTGCTATAGTTGATATTTGTAATTTTGATTCTCCAATCGTGCTGATCTTGGTGTTGAAACGATTCGACAAGAATTTAAACAAAAAAATATTGGTATATATTGATTATAATTCTTTATTAACTAAAATTCTTCTCATTTGTTTTGTTTTCGAAGGTATGGCATTCATTGAAAGTTTTTTATTATTAAAATTTGGACAAACAAAACTATAAAAAGAAAAGAGAAAATTGATTAGACAAGGCAATTTTTTATATTTTTTTAAGGGTGATTTAATTCATTATGCAATATGGAAATCAGCCATATATGATTTTTCTTATGTAAATCAATTAAGCCCCCCCCCCCCCCTCCCCTCAAAAGAGTCACATTTCGTTAGAATCATTGGAATTGAGATAAATCCATAGAAAGATAGTCTGTCATTTGCTCTTTCATAAACGATAAAAATTTTTCTTCGATACCTCTTTTCTCCGAAAATTTTTCAAGATTTCTGACAACCCCTATTCGAAAAACCAGCGGTTTTTTGAAACAATCCAAAACTTTTTTCTTTTTTTCTCAAAGTGGTAGTCGAGCGACGCATCACCACCAAAAGTCAATTATAATCCGATATAAAGTCAAATATTTTTTTTTTTGTTTGAAAGAGCATGTCAGGATGCAGTGCCTATGAGAGCCTTTTTTTGATAAAGCTTGCTTATTATTATATTGAAAAGCGACTTTATAATATAAGCATGATTTTTTTGAGGAATTTTTGAGTGACTGAACTTGTGAAGCCTGTTTTCCTTCATAAAGATAAGAATAAAAAAAAAGGGCTCTCAGAGGCACTGCATCCTGACATGTTCTTTCATATGAAAAAACAATGAGCCAAATTGAATGAACACCTATAGAGAATTTTTGGTGATGCGATAAGCTATTTTTCGACTCTTGTTTGGTTCGTATCTACTTAATACATCAGGATAGGAAGCTGAAAATTTTATCATAGACGTACTTTTACACCCCCAACATATCCCCAAAGTTTCATGCTATCTCGATGTTCCGGAGCTGAGAGCGATTTTTGAGGGGGAGGGGGCCTTAATACATCTTCGTCAACAATTATTTCAAGAAAAATTATCACATTCAATATATAGAATTCAAAGATATTTTAGAAAATATTTGATTTTATTAATTTTTATTTAGAAAATCAATTTTTAAAACAATTATTGACGGAAAAACAACTTGGATTGTACCATTTTCTGGTAGTGATAAATTCGTTGTTAAACGTACTCATTATTTTAATTATACACGATTAAATAAATATTAAAGAAAATTTTATTTTAGATTATTTTTCAATATTATCTTCAATTACCTTCATTTAATTCAGTTGTTAAACTTATCTTCTTTGGTTTAAGTTTTTCATTATTTATTAAATTTAAACTTGACATTCATTGTTTACTTAAAGTAATTCATTTGATGTATTCATACTATTTCTACTTTAATCTTTTTTTTTTCTAGTATCTTGGTCTATTTTCTGCTGGATTAGTAAAAAGAGAGGGATCAACATGAAAAGATGTAAATCGACGAACAAAAAAAAAAAGTTTTTATTTTGCTTTAATTTTTTTTAGTTCGAACGACCTTCATTTAAAATGACATGCGTAACTCATACAGAAGATAATATATTGATGTATCAAAAATGTCAATTACCTGTGCAAGTATATATTACTTAAAGAGAATGATCGTTTACCAGTCAATTTCAGTGATATGATTTGTTTTGTTATAGTTTAATTTTGATTTTTTTATAGAGGTGGAACTTTGACATCCGCAGCAACATTTGGACATACAATTTTAATGGATTATTTCGAAAAAGAAGAAATCTCACTTTCTAAAAACTAGATTTTTATACGATTGATTAGTCTTTTTGATGTTAAACAAGGAAAGTTGTTTTTTTATGTTGAAAAAGTTAATCTTTGACGTTCAACAATAAGTGTATTTTTTATGTTAAACGAGAAAAGTTGTTTTTTTTTTGTTTGCATAATCTGCTAATACATTTTTTTTCTTTAACAGTTTGGATTTTCAATGGATAACTTTTCCTAGTTGCTTTAACATACAAAACAAAATTCAAAAACAAGTTTCCCGTTATTCATATTTAAAAATTCTTACGATTCTCCTATCAATATAAGTTTAAGTATAACAAAACAAAGAAATATTCAGAATTTCATTTTATTATAACCATACGAAAACTGTATCTTCATCTGTCGTGCTAGGAACTTCTATCCGAAAAGAACGAGTAATTGAATTCTGTAGATCACGCAATTGTTTATCATAAAGTTTACCATATTTAATACAACCACCAATAGTGAGAAAATTTAATTTCGAAAGACCATTGATAAGTATACGTGATATTTCAGCGAGTTCACTAGTACCATTTAGTTCTATGACTTGCAAATGAGGTAGGCGTTCGACGATTAAATAGGCAATATTTATCAAATTTGGTTGTTCCCAAGCAGTAAAAATACTGAGTTGTCGTAATCCATTTGATATAAGCATATTGCACAAACAAGCATCATTAAGAAGATCGATTAAAGTTTCCTCTTTTAAGCCAATTTTACTATCATATTCTGAGCTATAATACAGTTCTAGAGTACGTAGATTAGTCATTTTCGAAAAGAGAACGTAAAGATGAGTTGAATTGAATGGTTGAATAATATTAAGCGATGTAACTTGATGCCAAGGAACGATAGGTGGTAACAAAGAAAGAAATTCATCATTGATTTGATCATAACACTCACTCATAATGATCTCATTGCATCGAAGCAACTGACCGTTCAAGACACATCTATTATATGGCCATCGACTTCGCCTAAATCCAAAAAAAAAAATGTCTGCTATTAAAAAGAAAACTGTCTATTTATACCCAAGCACAGTATTATGTAGATAAGAATAGACACATAAATATTTCTCCATTCTTGGTACTGTTACAGCTCTAATAGAATACATATTTCTTTCAAAAGATAGTTTTAATTCAATTGGCACTGGTCCTTTGAGCTGTTGAAACATGTCGCATAAGATTTGACTTGTTTCTGGTGGTGACATTACAGTTCCCACAAACTAATTAACATCAAACGAATATAAACATTGACTGCAAAGCATCGACAATAAATTGTGAACTACATAGGAACCATTCACATGCGCCACTAATGTGAAGTTCGTCAGTGAAAATAAAACATCACGTTCAAATAACTCATTCATTGATTTCACACTCATGATGCATCCATTCCATTCCATTTTATTTTAAGACGACGTAGATTTGGAGCAAGACGTCTATTAATGGGAGTAACTCGACTAAAATGGATTAACAAAATTATTCAACTTCTTAGTGAAACAAACCTTTTTCTTTCATTTATCTACATCAATCAGATAGTACGTCAGTGTTCTTTCTATATTCAATATTCAGCACTTATCGATTTAAATTATTCTTCTCTGCTTGATACAGGTTTCTAAAGAATATCTTTTACAACTGTAATTTTTTATCTTTTAATTATATGTCAAAAACACGAAAGAACAAACATTTCAATCAGTTAAGATCTTTCCATAACGTAATCGTGTCTATAGGCATACTTATTTCGAACATTTTCTATCTTTTAAATCGAGTATATCTTTTATATGACTTTTTTATGATTTGTTACAAAAGTACCTGCCTTCTGATTAGTATTTAACAAATAATATTTCTGATAAAGTTATGAGAAAAATCTAAAAGAAATCTCATAATAGAAACAATCCTAATGTTTCAAGACAAATTTAAGTCAATTTTCTTAAAAATTTTTGCCCTCGTTTTAACGACCAATAAGTTTTCGAAATAGATTGTTTTTTATTGCAAAGTAGTTTCTACCTTCTATGGAAGCCTTCATCTTTTTCTAAGTCTTTCACTTTTGATTTTCGTAGAGACATTTTTCAAGAAGAGCCCATTCGGCATTGTCATTTATTTTATGACCTATTCTGGCATGGTCTTCGGAGCTGCTCGATTTTTATTTGGAAGTAGCTTTCGATCTTTCATTCTTAATTTGAGTTTAATATGTTCAAATCTCAAGTCTTAAATAAATACTAATGAAATGCACTACAGAGAAATAGAGGCGCGTTTTCTTTGCAAGAATAAATCGAAAAATGTCACAATAATAAACTCAAATACTAATGAAGTAAATTCAACTTTGTTACTTCTTTCTGTAAGCGGAAAGACCTAGTTATTACTTAAGAATAATAAAAACAATAAATTTTGTCTTAATCTTATCGAAAGTACATGATTTGTATCAATCCTGTTTACATGCATTCATCTATAATTGCATATAAGAGCTCATCGTTTTGACTGATTTTCTCATATTTATTATCTACATTTAAAAATCTAATAAATCAATCATTTATAACTCATGAACTATTTGACATCTTCTCTCTATTATTAATATTTCAACTCTAAAACTGAATACGAATTATTCGAAATGTATCTTTTCAGTTCATTGATAATTGAGTTTGAACTACAATTTCTGATAAAATGATTAGATACATTTTCTTCTATCATATGCTTTACATTGAGTTCATAAATTAAAACATACATAATATTTAAAGAAAGAAATTTACTTGTTATCACCATCTTCTAATGGATGGTCATGAGGTAGCCAAGGAGCACTCCGTTGAAAGCTGAGCTGTTCCAGTTGTGGAAGATGTTCAAATAAATATGATAGAAACCTTGGCGAGCATCGTCGAAGTACAAGTGATTGTAAGTTTAAAAGACTGGTTTGAATAGGCATAGAAGTTCTATCAAGTGGTAGAACGAATTCACTATCTAGACTATAATGTATGTATCGCCAGAAAAGCACATACACGTAACGATGGAAATAAGCGAAAAATCCGTTCATAATATGCACCTTCAGGCACACCTATAAACGTATAAGCAGCACGATAATTAGTTGAAAAGTGTATGCTAAACATGATGAGAGAATTAATGGGTGATAGTGAGTTGAGAATGAATTCAAAAGAAGAACGTTTAATGTCAATTAAAGATAAATGACGAAGATTGATGAATGTAGATACATGCGATGCTAACCATAAGCCATTATCCATAGCTAACGTATCTGAGACACATAATGAAATAAGACGATTACAGATGTTTGGTTGTGATAAATGTCTGTAATAAAATTCGGTCACTTCTACACTCATTCCATTGAGACTCAAGTAAATTGGCATAAATGACATGCTATGAATGATGGCAGCAAATTGTGAATTAAGATTAGAAAAAATATTGAATGTTTCATGAAACTGGAAATAAATAAATATTTCGTAGAGTAATTCGACAGAGAGATGCTCTAATGTTGTTGTCATAGTTTGTCTTAATGTCATCATATTGAATATTGTGTATCATTCTTATACAATGGCTTCTTGAACAATAGTACAAAGCATTATTGTTCTTTCTGGCGATAGCAGGCCTCGCAGTGGTCCTTCTTTCCTTCTTTTTTCCTTCTATTTTTAGACCATCCTTCTTCATTCTTCTTTTCTTCTAAAATCCTTCTGTTCCTTCTTTTTTACTTTTCATACGAATAGGCTCTCAGAAACATCGAAAAAACTGATTATCAATATTTAGTTAGAGTCCGACACTGCTAGGGAGCTCTCAGACCTCCAGAAAATGTTTAATTTACCTCGAGCCAAATGAAAAGTTCGTCACACCTAGGCTAAGGAGCGCATGTGGGACTCCAATTTGCGTGGCACCGACATGCAGGACTTGAGATACGTAAAATGGTACTTCTCTGAAATTCGGTCACTGCTGAAAATTTCGGGCATACACTTAGTGACGAACCATAGCCGAAGCTGAGCTGTGCTCGAATGGTCTTTCGTCGCGCATCGATGCTCGATCGAGATGGTCGCTCAGCAGAGCAATAGACGCACAGTTTTTATTGGTGTCGTTGTTGAGGAACAAAAGCTGAAAGGCAACCGGCATCCAGTAGTACGCAGTGATGGTCCTTGTGGACGAGAGTGAGGGTGGCACGTGCCAGTTAATTTCAGTTCAACTCAAAGTCAACGTTCAACTTTCTACTCAAATTAAGTTGGTCAATCAATGTCAGACATGACTTTCGACTTCTCCACTCGAACTATAGTTCTTAATACGCTTTTCAACTTTTTCGACCGAGTTGGGGTTTCAGAGGAGACTTTTGACTTTCCTCGTCGAAAAATTCATCAGTCACAATTGAACTTCATATCGATCGAAAAACTGGAAACTTATCCAGTGAACCCAACTCGGTGAAGGATGTACGAATCCCACAGGAACCCCATTCAGAACGAGAAACCCGACAAGCGTATCTGAATCGAGGAGGTCGTAAAGCATCTCAATCCGAGTGGGATATATCAGAAATATCGGATGATGGAAAATATCTTTTTACAAGTTGAAAGATGAATTCGAGTTGAATTCAGCTTTCAACGCTAAAAGGTAAGTTAACCAGTCAACCTAACTTTGAATCATCCTCAACTTGACACATATAGGCAAGAATGGTGTGTTTAGGCTAACTCTTTGTCCCGCTATGTGTAAAAGTGGCAGATAGAAGTAGCCACTGGGCATTGTGCTGCCTATTTTTCAAAGGGCAGAGCAAGGATGCTGCTACACATCTCTGACACCCTATTAACTGATAGATTTGAGCATACACGAATTTTCGTGATCGCTACACGGCATAGCAATATATGTGGGCGAGGGGTGTACGTGACCTATAAAATTATCGAGAGAACCATTGAGACATGGGGACGACAACAACATACACGCACGTCGCATGACTAAAGAATAGTGTCCTGCAACCCGGTCGGATACCCGGCACCCGGTCCGACAGTTAATCAAAATTTGATGTTTCAAAATATTTTTTCTTTTTCAAACTGCTATTTGTTTAAAAGCATAGGATTAAAACCGGCTCAATCATCACTGAACAACTAATTGTACTTGAGAACAGATCAGAGAGGTGGAAACGCAATATTGTTTTACTAAGAGAATTGGTTTTTAATGAAAATTGATCTGCAGATGAGGAGGCAACATATGACGAAATAACTGAATATATAGAGAAGAAAATGAACTATCGAAAACGTAGACGTATACTTTGATGTTGTGAAAAGCATTCATCTACGTATGTATCCATGAGTACGTTGCTTGACAACAACACTACGTTCCATTCCAACTTCATCAGGAACTAGCAAACATAATTAGCGAAATTGATCGAATTATAGAAGTAGAAAGACATCGAGTGAATCCTGAATCACTTTATTCACTTATCTTTTTTGTGGAATTTGAGATGATCTATTTCTTTTCTTGCTGTTTAGGGGAAAATCTAAACAGTATACTTTTTAATATCAAGGAAAAGTTTAAAAACTGTACTATGACTGTGAAAATATTTGTTGGATGTTGATTAGCGCCGGGTCGGGTACCGGGTACAGCTATCCGGGTCCGGTTCGGGTTCGGGTATAGGATGGCCGGGTCCGGGTCGGGCCCGGGTATAGGAAAAAATGCCGGGCCGGATCCGGGTGTAAAAACTCGTGCCCGTGCAGGGCACTACTAAAGAAACAGCTGTTCGCCTTTGAAATTCGTTCTCAGTTCGTATTCATTATAACACCAAGAGAATGATCTTGCAAACTGATCAAATAATAATTCGAAAATTATTTTACTCGCCTGAGCTCAGTCCTGTGGTTTCTTATTGGATGTCTTATAAAATGGATTCGTTGCATCGCATTACTCCGAGAAAATTCCTTCTTTTCCTTCCTTTCCGTCTTTTGTTCGAATTTCCTTCCTTTTTTTTGAAAAATTCCTTCTCAAAATCCTTCCTCTTGGTAACCTCCCGCTGCGACTCCTGCGATAGCCACTGCAATAAGATGATATTATTATTGCTATTGGTCAGCTTCATGGGTCATTGTATATACAGTTTGTGTTTTCTTTTCTTTCGATAATTTTTCTCTCAATAGTGTGTTTATAAGAAGAGATAATAAAATTTGTACGATAGTCATGAATTATCCTTTTTCTTATATGAAATGAAACTCATTTTTTTGACATCACATGTGTGACAACATTTTCAGAAAAAAAAGCTGCATAGGAATTATGAATAATAATTAAAGCACCAATTACTTTTTTATCATCATTTGACTTCCGATGATCATTTTTATCAATGTATGAAATGCCGAAAAATAGAAGACATCAAAATTCTATTAGTCTTCAATTAACTTCCAACGTCACTGAGATCGTATTTTGATGAAAAAGAAATTAAAAGCTTTTTTTTTATTCGTCAAAACCCAATATTTTTCATACCATAGCAAATAATAAAAGCTGTCACTTTCATTCGGTATCATATGATATGATAACTGTTGCAGACTTAATTGCTTGTTCCTCAAATTAGATCACATCTAATCCTGTCTTGATGATATGAAGTAGAGATATCTCTGGCGGCGCTGCCGAGTCGCCAACTCCACGACGGTGACGGTGCGGTTGCGGCAGTTTACTATTTTTTATCGTCGCGGTGCGATGCGGCAGCGGTTAAGCTTCTAGAAAAATTTTTTTCTATTTGTTTCGAGATCCGTAACGCTTGAGATTATAATTGTTTGTTTTTCCGATTAGAGAATATTTTTTTCAACCAGTATATTTCTATGCTCATTTCATCACCTAACAGAAACACGTGTTAATATCATGGGATTGAATGATGACGACAATTGCAAGCATGTTAATAACAGTACCTGAATACATATTCTATCCGATTATACTGAATATACATATCAATGGTTAACAACTTTCAATTTGTTAGATTTTTTCACTGATGAATACTGACTTTCGTATATCTTACACTAAAAGTTCTTTTGCTTTACATGTATTATAAACAACAATGAAGTATTTTTCTGAAATCGACGGGCTACGAATATGACAATATGCTCATTTTTAGGTATGCAACTCAATTCATTTTTAGATCAATATGTGTTTCACCTAATTATGTGGGCAGTAGTATGTTCTACTAATTATAATTGTGTAAGGTTTATATTTGACACATACATTAGGTTGCAAAGTTGTTTAAGCCTTAGCATTGTGATGAGTTTTGCACTTATACAAATTCATTTTCCTCAATTATAAATTTTGGTGCAATGCTTGATTTAAGACATCAAACTTTTAAAACACTAATACACATACATGTGTTACAGTGGCCGCACATAAAAAAAGCTTATAATTTTTCTGTTTTCATATTGAATCATTGAGAAGGGCAATGGAATTCAGGAAATACGATTAGTGTAGTTGGTTTCATTGTTGAAAATGGAAAATGATCAAAGACTATCATTTTATAAAACTTTGTAGTAAGTGAAATATTTCTGTATGATATCATGTATAGATTCATTTAAAAACTAACTATTGTTCCATTCACTTTTATGATAATAAAAGGGTGTGGGCGTGGTTTGTGTTAAGAATGCGGACACCCACATCCACCCACCCACACACCCACACCCGATTAGTGATTTATCTAGAATATATCCTCATATGTGCCAAAAGATTTTTGTCGTATTTTTTTGTACAAAAAAGAGGAAAAAATATTAGCCTTGCTTTTTATTTAAAAAACTATTGTTGATATTCTTAACGTGTCGAAAAGTGATCCTGAGTGTGTCAATATGTAGATTACCTACTGTAGTCTCGATCCACCAAATTTCATCACTACAAACATTATCGTTGAATAATGGTGAAATATACAATCTATAGATACTACAGTGTTTGTCCTCATTTTTTCCGTTAGCATACTCCAGTTACGGATAATTGAATATGTAAAAGAAAATGGTGTGCGACTAATGCCATTTGTTAAAGATGGTTTTCATGTGTGTAAGATGATCTATTTTCTATACATGTCATCTTTTTTCCTATTCTTATTCTTCTTGTTTTTTTTTGACTATGTCGGACAACTACAAACGCTATATATCTATTTTCATGATTATAATTGAATTTCTATATCGAAAAAAACCAATAGAACAAATAGAATATAGTTTTATGTGTATGGATGCGCATTGATTCTTTCTTCTTTTCCTTTTTTTCTTAAGAGGCGAGTAAGAGTTTGTAAATCACTTTGATAGACATAATCTATTATTGGAAGAGAAAGATATAACGAAGACTTGCATACAAACAATGTATTTCATCAATATATTTGCTTTAATTAGAGATTGCCGAGTTCAATGTAATAACTTTACATTCTTATGAAATGCCGACATGAAATCTAATTGATTACTAACACGATTGTCTATAATTGCTATTTATTGTAACGATTAATGAGTCTAAGGAGCTGTCATCTAGTGCAAATGTATGTTTCTAGTTCATAATGAGTGTGAAGCAACTGTCTTCTATCTTCTTTTCACTCCGGATGTTATCGATCTCATGTATGCACCATTTGTCTCTCTCTCTCTCTTTCCATATATATATATATGTATGTATGCCATGTATACAGTACTGATAACTTATCATAGCACTAATTGCAAATTGATTTTGCTAATAATCATCAAGAGGCATAGTTGAATCTCTCATGCTATTTATTATAAGTTTATAAATAGATGAGATGAAAATAAATGCATACTGTTTTCTATAGCATTATTAAACTGATGATTGTCAAAAGAAATATTTAATTATGATACAAAAGATGTTTTTTATTTTGATTATTTCAATTGAAGACTGATTCAAGAAGTGAAATGGTCGATACAAATGTATTAATTCATTATATAAAGATTTGGAAAAATTATCTTGAAATATTGTTTTTTTGTTCAAAATATTTATGATCTTATTTTTATATCGTAGAGTTTTCTTTATCTTTTCATTGTTATAAATCTTATCATTTCCTTTAGCATTATTTTTTCAATATGATAGAAAAATTCAACGAATTTGTTGATATAAAAGAATTTTATGACAACTACCTTGACATGTACATAACAAGATAGTGACATTTTAGCATACTTTGTTTTAAAAAAATTCGATGAAATCATTGCATTTTTCACGAGGATATTAAACTTGTCTGTATATGAGGTATTATGTCAAATATCATAGACCCTCTATTGAAACAATAATCTTATTAATAAATCTTATCACAGGTTTTTCAGTAGAATTGAAATGAGAAATACATTTAGACAGACGTACAACGAAAAGAGGAAAAGTTTTCTTTTTTCTTTTTGCTTTTTCTTTTACTTTTCATAAGAACAAATAAATAAACATGTTCTTCTCTAAATAAACCATAATTCAAGTATGACATGTACTCTTGCGACTGCTATTGATAATAATTCAACAATTACAACGAATTTCTCTACGACACCAGAACTTCATTGAATCACGAGCAATTAGGTAACTTAGGTATCCTGCAGGACTCAAATATTGTTATTGACATACTGCAAATCATGTGCTCTCTTACGCTCTCTGGTAAAGGACGAAAATGCTCATAAATTTGTTCTATAGCATTATTTAACTAAAATTCATCTCAAGAAAAATGATAAAGTATAAACTACGTTTATTAAAAGTAAAGAATTAGAAAACTCAAGGACAAAGTTTATTGGAAAGAAAATGTCAGTTTTTTAGATACTTATGATCACATCAGCACTACTCGGGTGAGCACTGCCTTGATTGTATAACCAATATGAAATAGTATATGTTTGACCAACAAGTGTTGAAAACATTTGAATTAAATAATCAAAATTTCCTACTGCTCCATCATAATAAAAATAATTTCCTGATTCAACTTGGTATGTATTAGCCATGCATTCAAAATGATCTGAATTTTGCATAACTGCACCAGCACTTGTTGTGCTATTTGAGTTGCAATAAGTCCATGATGATAGTGTAGCAGTTTCAAAATCATTATTTGCAATTAATTCAATAGCTATATTTCGTACTGATACAGCATCAAGTACAAAACAACCTTCATCTTCACGAAAAGAAAATGCAATACGAGTTCTATTTGAAATAGCGGTGTAAGTATATGTATATTGTGTATATGGTGGTATATCTGGACAATTATTACAATGATAAAGTACAGTAACGCCTTTCCATCCAGAAGTACATGTATTGGAAGTAATTGCTTAAAAAAGAAACGTTAAATATAGTATTGTTTTTACACGATGAATACTTACTAACAGTTGCTGCAGTTGTAGTAGTTGTTTTAGTTATAGTAGTTGTTGCCGCTATATATAATGCTATAATAGTTAAGAGTATACGCTCATTCCCTTCTCCCTTTCTGGAATTTCTAGAGGACGGCTCATTAGAAAAATTTGAAATTTTCTTCACGACTACGGCAAAAATAGAACCCTTTTTTTCTAAGAGCTACAAAAAAATCAACAGAAGAGTATTGTTTGAAACGCAAAAACAACATACGAACGTCGTCGTTTCTCATTGTTTTCCTCTTTATTACAATCAATAAGATTTTTTAAGCAACTATTATAGTCAAGTAAAGATACATTCGAAGTTTCATGCCAAGAATTTGTCCTGGCATAAAAATTCGGCATTGAATTAGTTGTTCTTGGCGAAAATTGTTTCGAAGCACTGAAATCAGCACAATTGGATGACACGATCGTTTTAAAAATATTAAAGAATTCCTCAAATGAAAATCAATCTACTATAATCGAACCTTTTTTTGATCAGCATTACTGAAAGATTTCATATTATTCGATGTAATCTAAAGACATAGATTTCCATACGAAAAAGAAAATATTCTGCATTACGTTTTCAAATTTATTTGATAGAACCATTGACTTCTGCACAATGTCATATACAGAGTTCATATTCAACTGTTCTAAAGAATTTATCAACAGATGATTGTTTTCTTATTTCAATCGATAAATAAGGTGTTGAAGGTATTGAATCGATATTTTCTACTACATTATCTAAATCCAATATTTTTGAAATCTGTATATGATTTTGTGGACAATGATACATTTTTAATCGTTGCTGTGCCTATGAAATGAGTGGTACAATAGTAAAATTCGATTTTCATGCATCAATGATTAATTCAGACTTTAAGAAAAAAAACTCGAAAAATGATGCGTGTGAGGGTAAGTTAATGGACGGTAGAAATTATAAGTTCATGGTAAGGAAGAATAAAGGATAAGAGGAATTGAACGATTTTAATGTAAAGTTTCATTATCGGATACAAAAATACAAGATTTCATGTGTATTAACAAGTGAATTCATCGAGAACTACAAGTTTCATGTACAATCAATGAAGTAATTTCATCTATTGATCGTTTGATCAATACATCAGATGAATTTTTATTTATGAACGATCAATAATAACATAAAAAGATTTTTCATGATATTTCTAAACAAAAGACCAATTGAATATAAAGGGTTAACCTAGAACCTGTTAGTTGTCAATTAAAAACAAATAATGGTAAATAAAATAACAAATGTACTTTATTGTGCTTTTTGTTTTTGAAAAATTCAACATTAAATCTATTGAAATAACTTACAAGTCGATGCCGATGATATTGGCGAACTTTTTTGACTTTAGTCACACGACGTATTTTCGGAAGATGCAGCATTCTTACAAACTTTGCTGCTGTTTATACTTTGAATATTTTGATCAAATGATTTGCAATCGGCTTTCTTCATCCTTATTGTTATTCAATACGATTGTTCTTTTTTTCTCTGTGCTAATTTCAAACGAACTCAAACACCAATCATAAAAATCATAGATCAGGTTTCGCCAAGCGAATCCAGTGCAATGTATTGCACTTTTTCATCTAGTCTCTTCAATAATACAAATAAATAAATAAAAAAAAAATCATTTCTTCCTTGAATACAATTGTCTTGACAAGTTTCTATTTTCAACTAAAATAATTTGTTTTACCACCTCGATCACTGTTATCGATATTCAGCGTTTTATTTTTCATTGCCTACGAGGTGCACAACGACAGACACAAAAAATAAAAAACAAAACAAAACACGTATAACAAAACTGTCCTATGTAGTTATTTCAACATCGTTTTATTCTTTTAAAAACCCATTCCACCCATTCCGCCCATGCCGCCCATGCCACCACCCACTAAAATATAAGAGAAAAAAAACAATGTAATTCAGTTGAATTAAATAGAATATTTCATATATACGTACTGCCTCCCATAGGTGGAGCAGCATCTTTTTCAGATTTAGGTGCTTCAACAACAACAACTTCTGCTGTTGTCAATAATGAAGCAACACCACTAGCATCTTGTAATGCTGATCGAACGACCTATGCAATAATAAAAGTTAATTTCCATAAAATAGAAATGAAAAATTTATAAATATTCATACTTTAGTTGGATCAATAATACCACTTTTAACCATATCGACAAATTCGTCACGTTGTGCATCATAACCAATTTCAAATGGTGATGCAAGTATTTTTTCAACAATTATACTACCATCTTTGCCTGCATTCTTAGCAATGGTGGCACATGGCATACGAAGAGCTTTTCGTACGATTTCAATACCTAGATAAAACAAAGTCGATAGATTGATATAAAAAAATAAATCAATTCTAATAGGTTCTTTACCAATTTTTTGATCTTCATTAATGGCGTCAGCATTGCCTTCCAATACTTTGAGACATCTTAAAAGAGCAACACCACCACCCGGTACAATACCTTCTTCAATAGCAGCACGTGTTGCATTTAATGCATCAGTAATACGATCTTTTTTTTCGTTAACTTCAACTTCACTACCACCACCAACTTTTAATACAGCAATACCATTTGATAATTTTGCTAAACGTTCTTGTAATTTTTCTTTATCATATTCAGAGTTTGTTTCAGACATTTCATCTTTAAGTGCATTTACACGTTGTTCTATAGCTGATGGATCACCTTTACCACGCATTATTAATGTATCATCTTTTGTAACAATAACTTCACCGACACGACCAAAATCTTTTACAGTTATTTCATCAACTTTATTTAAATTAGCTTCATCACCAAATACAGTACCGCCACAAGCAACAGCTATATCACGTAATGTATTCTTGCGATTATCACCGAAACCAGGTGCTTTGATGGCACATATTTGAAGACCAACTTTTAGTCTATAAATGAAAACAAAAAGACATAGTTAAACTCATATAAAACTTATACAGGCATCGATTCCTCATTTGTACTAGTTAGCAACAGCTAGCTGTAGGTGTATATCATAATGTAGTCAGCATGTTACCAAACGGGTGCCCTAAGACAATCAGCCGCTAGTCGCTTGCCCACGGTCACTCCATGTTTAGTAGCATCGAGATTTAAACATAGTACCTTGCGAATATGTGAATCTAAAGTCCATCGGTTAGATTCCGACAGGAGTGTCCTGAGGTGACCAGGATTGTGGGGATCGAGCGTTTTTTTTCAAAATTACTGGGCAAAAGAACTTATAAAATGCTGGAAATCAGCTGAGGAAAAATGACCTTTGCTCTAATCCTAAATAATGTTTTTCTCTCCACACATGTATAGATATATATATTCTATATTCACCTGTTAAGAACAAGTGTTGTAAGTGCTTCACCATCAATATCTTCAGCAATAATAAGTAATGGTTTACGTTGACTATTAGCTAATTCCAAAGCTGGAATAAGTTCTTGTACAGATGAGAATTTTTTTTCACTTAATAAAAGAAAAGCATCTTGAAATTCACATTTTGCACCTTTTGTTGTATTAATAAAATAAGGTGAAATATAACCACGATCAAATTTCATTCCTTCAATAATTTCAAGTTCATCCAATAATGTTTTACCATCCTATTTAAAAACAAAGAACTCCAAAATCATTTTTCATTTCAAAAACAAGTTCAAATTACTTTAACAGTAATAACACCAGTTTTGCCAACTTTTTTCATTGCATTTGATATAATATCACCAATTGAAACATCACCATTAGCTGATATTGTTGCAACTTGTGCAATTTCTTCTGGTGTTGTTACAGTTTTAGACATACGTTTAAGTTCATTAATAACTGTTGATACACCAAGCATAATACCACGACGAACTTCAATTGGATTTGCACCACGTGAAATCTTATCAAAACCTTCTTTAGCTATAGCTCGTGCTAGAATTGTTGCAGCTGTTGTACCATCACCTAAATAACGAAAATAACAAATCATTCATTGTATTATTAAATTTATTTATTCATACCAGCTTCTTCATTCGTATTATTTGCAACATCTTGAACGAGTTTAGCCCCAATATTTTGAAATTTATCTTTTAATTCAATGCCTTTGGCAACTGTAACACCATCTTTTGTAATTTTTGGTGCACCCCAACTTTGTTCAAGAATGACATTTCGTCCCTGAAAAATTTTTTTTTGTCTTTTTAATTTATAACAAATCAAAAGAAACTATAAAACTAACTTTAGGACCCATAGTAACAGCAACAGCATCGGCAAGAATGTCGACACCTTTTAACATAAGTACTCGTGCTTCGGTACCAAATTTAATTTCTTTTGCCAATGAACGACGTACAACATGTTGAATAAGTGGTGATGCTGCTGTTCGTGAAAGTGTTTTAGCCAAACGATACATTTTTTGTTATTATTATTACGAATGAAAACTAAAATTAAAAAAACAAAAAAAAGAATGATAGTTGATGAAACAGTTGGACTCCTGGATGGAAGAAAAAACTGATGTAATCGTTTGTTTATTTATTCTCCTGCTTGAATTTATATGAAACCTCCTTCCTATGAATGGATAGAAGTGAACTTCCAATCAGAAAAATAAGAGAATAAAAGAATAAAAAGAATACAAGGTCGAATCAATTACAAATATTCTCGACTGTTCTCGTACGTTATATAAATCATTTTTGTACTTTATCCTAAATGGTAAGCATGATGAGAATAATATGAGTACAAAATTTTAATATGAAATGTTTTCTGCTTTTTTTGCAATTTAGGCATCTTCAGCATTAAAACGAATTATTCCATTATTTGATCGTGTTCTTGTCGAACGCTTTGCTGCTGAAAAAGTAACTAAAGGTGGAATTCATGTACCAGAAAAAGCATTAGGAAAAGTTCTCAATGCTACAGTGATTGCTGTTGGTAAAGGTCTTAAACAAAAAGTATAAAATTTCTATTTATTGTTTTTTTGTCCTTGTTTTAATGATTATTTTTATCTCTAGGATGGTACTCATGTTCCAGTGAGTGTTCAAGCTGGTGATAAGGTTTTATTACCGGAATATGGCGGTACTAAAGTTGAACTACAAGACAAGGAATATTTCATTTTTAAAGAAGCCGATATTCTTGCCAAATGGGAATAATAGATCATTTGTTTGTTGTTTTTTCGAAATGATTTTTCCCGTTTGATTTTTCTGTGTGTGTGTAGGTAAACGAACTGTTGTTGTTTTTTCTTTGTCTTTCATACTTATTAGGTTTGTTTTTTCATTAATAAAAAAAAACAAATAAAAACGAAAGTATTCAACTTAATAAAATAGTTTATAAGATGAAAATCTTTTTCTTCAGAAAAGATTTCGAAAAGAAAAATGATCAATCAGTTCAATACAATATGAATATAGTAAGCATTTAAATAAAAAGTTCTTATGTGTTTGTTTCATTAGAATTTTCACAGAATACGATTTCACCAACAAAAACTGATTTTCAGCAAATAACAACAAATAAGGTGCATGTAAGTAAAAATCTCTAATATGTTCATTTTGATAGAGTTGACAGCTTCATATTTTACATCCCTAGTACAGAGGTCGGACCTACTTTGGTCCGGATCTCAGACCAATTCGTTCTTGATCTAAAAGTAAAAGTCAACTATGATTACATTCTTATACAATCATCGTTAAGGTGCTTCTGAGAAATGTGTAGGACGTACTAGTGGCTATCAAGATGGATTAAGCAAGCTTTACTACGAAAATTTTGAGTACGAATCGTGTTTGGGCTCGGATTCGAAAATCTTGTACTTGACGAGTTCTGGTAAAAACTAAGCTTTTTCTGTACGTTATCAAAAGTTTTCTTATTTTCACTCAACCTTACTCTACACTGTAAGGTAAGAGTATGGTTGATTGACCTGTAAGCTCTGCTACACATTCCTTAAATCAATCCTACACAACTGTATGCTATTTAAGAGAAATGCTCTCGATTTAATAGATTAATATTCTAATATTTGATTGATCTAGGGATTTTACAAGCACAATATAACTTTGTTTTTGTTTAATTATTGATAGGATTCAAATCAGTTTTGGTGTAATCTATGTCAACGAAAATTTTGTTCTTCAAGTGCATTATATCAACATGGCAAACGTTTATCACATTTAAAACGAGCTATGAAAATGTCATCTTCTCGTTGTACAACAATAACTAATGGAAAGATTACAAGTTGTGTACAAAGAACTAAACCATTAAGTACACCAATATCAATTATTCGTATTCCTTCACCTCCTCCTGCTCTTCCACAAACTGAATCAATAACAAAAGATCAAATAATTATTCGCAAAAATCGACATGAACAAGATAATTCCATAAGGTACTTAGATAGTGAAATAAAACTATTATTATATTTTATTTGTTCTAAGTTATACATGTAATTCATGTGGTTGCCGATGTTGGTCAATACGTAATATACGTCGTCATGTACGTCTTCATGCTGATGTCCGTCCATATACTTGTAATATATGTCAATTAAAATTTAAATCATATAGTAATTTAATGAAGCATTTAAAAACTAATCGACATCAACAAAGTAATAATACTAATGAAAAAAATTGGACAATCGATACACAAGCACTTGCCGAACAAAGTAAGTTGTAAAATAATATAAACTAAAATATTTTTACTAAAAAAATATATTTTATAGATAAATTAATTAATGAAGTATTGATTATTGATGATGATAATCAAATAGAAGAATGTACGTTGTTTTTTTTGAAAGATAAATTATTGTACTAATAATTGGTTGTTTTTTTTTTTTGTCTAGGCAAAAGTTCCAATGAGTTATCATCGTCAATGGATGGTATGTATGACTGGCATAAGTGAAAAAATAAACTATAGAACATTTCTTTTTGTGCAACACGATCTAAAAGCAATGTTGAAGTATAGAGTAGAACCCACCGGGTCCGGGATACCAGAATTTTGAGTTCCATTCCTAAGAATCCGAAACCCGATGCGAGTTTTCCTTTCTGAGAAAACATAGTGCCTTGTCAGAAAATGAAAGAATAGATAAACTTGACATTTCTAGTCCTAATCTGAAAGCTTTGCATCCAACGAGCTCTTAGATAGGAGTAAAAAATTAAACCTTCCATAGACCGTAACAGACATTGTTGATATAAGATCAAACAACGTACACTAATCATGTCTCTTTGTAATATATATGAACTAAAAGGATGGTGAAGACATGTATTCCAAAATAGATAGAATAGAATAAAATTCACATTGAAATTCCGGCAGATTTTGTTAACATTTTTGTTTGCAGAATCGAACAATCTACTTGAAGATTTACAAATACCTGATAGTCGTTTAATTGATGGTGATGCTGCTGAACTAGCTCTGATTGGTAAGTCTTTTGATAACTATTATATCTATTATGAAATATATGTTTATTTAAATTAGATCCAAATACATTTGAAGAATTACATAAAGCAGCTGAATGTTTACTTAATTTACAAGGAGCTTTTTATTTTGGTGAAGATGAAAATGGAACTGAAAAAGCCAATACACTTCTTTCGACTTAATTCTATTTTATAGTATTTTGTATTATGTATCAAAAATAAATATAACTATGTACAGTTATAAATGTTTTTTTTTAATTGAAAGAACAATAAAAAAATTTTTTATCTTAAAATTAAAATTAAATATTTCTTTTTCTTTAATATGGAATTCTTTTCTTTTGCATAAAATCCTTTTTTGAAGATGATACCACGATTTATTATATCAGTTAGTAGAATACGTTTTTGTATGTCAATTACATATTATTCTATGATATTTTTTTTTGCCAGGCACGTTTACGTAGTGCATTTAAAGCATGTGTTACTGGTGGTTTCATTTTTGTTGGTGCCAATATATATCTTGGTAGTGAACGCTTTTATGAAGAAATATTTATGCCAACATTACGATATATTGATCCAGAAAAAATTCATGATTTATCAATTCAAATGGCTAAACATGGACTTGTTCCTCAAATGAAATCTGTTGATGATCCTATTTTGGTTTGAAAATATAGTTGAAGTTGAAAAAAGATGGAGAAAAAAATTAATTGAAGACAAGTTCTTTTCACCTGCCTGAATAAAATGATCTTTAAGCTTATGAGAATAAAAAGCATATAGATACTACCACTGTTCTTTTCACATATTATTTTGTATATTAAAAAAAGAAAGGCCATAAAATTGATCTTAAATNGTATTATGTATCAAAAATAAATATAACTATGTACAGTTATAAATGTTTTTTTTTAATTGAAAGAACAATAAAAAAATTTTTTATCTTAAAATTAAAATTAAATATTTCTTTTTCTTTAATATGGAATTCTTTTCTTTTGCATAAAATCCTTTTTTGAAGATGATACCACGATTTATTATATCAGTTAGTAGAATACATTTTTGTATGTCAATTACACATTATTCTATGATATTTTTTTTTGCCAGGCACGTTTACGTAGTGCATTTAAAGCATGTGTTACTGGTGGTTTCATCTTTGTGGGTGCCAATATATATCTTGGTAGTGAACGCTTTTATGAAGAAATATTTATGCCAACATTACGATATATTGATCCGGAAAAAATTCATGATTTATCAATTCAAATGGCTAAACATGGACTTGTTCCTCAAATGAAATCTGTTGATGATCCTATTTTGGTTTGAAAATATAATTGCAGTTGAAAAAAGATGGAGAAAAAAAATTAATTGAAGACAAGTTCTTTTCACTTGCCTGAATAAAATGATCTTTAAGCTTATGAGAATAAAAAGCATATAGCTACTATCACTATTCTTTACACATATTATTTTGTATATTAAAAAAAGAAAGGCCATAAAATTGATCTTAAATTTTTCAGAAAAAAAAGGTTCATAATTCATGTGAAACTTAACCTAAGCGTTAGGAATTAATGCGAGTGGCATCTAGTTTTCATTTTAATCTTCATTTAATTCTTTTTTTCTCCATTATTTTTGACTTCTGAAAAAATATTTATTTTAATATGTAATTTTAGCATTCAACTGTATGGAATCGTGAATTCAAAAATCCAATTGGTCTTGCAGCTGGCTTTGATAAAAATGGTGAAGCAATTGATGGTTTAAGTAAATTTGGATTTGGTTTCATTGAAATTGGTATATTCATTTCTATCGTTCAAAAATGTTTAATATTTATTTTACATAAAGGAACAATCACACCTAAACCACAATCCGGTAATGAAAAACCTCGATTATTTCGTCTTACTGAAGATCGAGCTATAATAAATCGGTTAGTTTTACAACAAAAAACTTTTGGTTTTTTTTTTCATTTACCTAAATTTCACTTTTTTAAGTTATGGATTTAACAATGATGGTTATGAAGCAGTTCGTGCTCGTCTTATTGACTACCGTCAACGTACAAATGCTAATAAAGATAGTAAGTAGGTTTTTCTTCCTATAAATCAACAGAAAAACAAAACAAAAAAAAAAAAAAAGAAACAAAATATTAAGGAAAGTATCCAAGTGAATGTTCGAGTGTTGTTGATGGTTGTTGATGTTCACGTTGTTGTTCTTCACCATAAAGATGAATGCCTTGATCTGTATGACGTAAATATTGTCTATAATCAATAGGTAATTCAGTATCAGCAATTGTAAATGAAGCTACACGTCTTGGTTTTGCTGCTGTTGATGATGATGAACAAGAAGATTTAAATGGACGTTGTGAAGAATAAGATGTTGCTGGTGTAAATGGTAGTACTTTAATTCCACCCATAGCTGCTGGAATTGGTTTTGTTTGTTGAGTTTGAAGTGTAACACGAGGAATTCGACATGGTGGTACAGAATGATCATCATTTATATTTTCGACATTAATTGTTTGATTTGATATTAAAGAATCTTTTTCATTTATAGTAGATTTTCTAAAATAGAAAAAAAAAAGAATTTTTATTTTTGTTTTTTTATGAAATTATTGAATTTTTACCTTTGATTTTTTCTTAATTCTTTAACAAGTGATAAGATATTTCGTTCATGATTATCTTCATTTAAACATGGTGATGAACGATAATGTGAATAATAATAATTTGTATTATTATTATTGTTAGTATTATTATTATTATTATTATTATTATTATTATTTCTATTTGTTGTTGGTGTTTTGGATGAAAAATCCAAATTAAGAAAACCATTTAATATATGTCCATTTGTTGCACGAAAAAATATATTTTCATTACTATCAGATGTGCGCATATTCGCTGATGTTGTTGCTGTTGTAGTTGTAACATTTTCACGTAATAATTTTGGAACATAATTTCCAATATCACCATAACGATTTATAACAACTTGTGGACGTAATAAATAAGTATCAAGTATAGATGATGGTTGTTGTGGTTGTTCAACATTTGTCGTTGTTCGTGATATCACGGGTGTATTATTAGCTGATGGTATTGTTGGCAATTGATTAGAATTTAAAAAAAAAGAACGTTTTCTATTATTATAATGAAATTGATAACGTTTTTTATTTAATGTATTATCATTATTATCATTTGTTAATGTTGTTTGATCAAATGATGCATGACGTTTTATTGGAATTTGACAAGAATTTGTATCAATTGTTTTAAGTTTTTCAGCAACAACAATATTCATTAAATCATTAACAACTTCATCTGATTCATCAAGCATTAAAGATGATGATGATGATGATGCTTTGATAAAATGACGTTGTTGTGTTTGTGGTTGTTGTTGATGCTTTGTTGAAAGAGTACGTATTGGTGTTGAAGATGAAGATGGCATACGATGACTATTATTGTCTATGTTTAATACTTGAGATGTATCATGATATGAATTTGATTGTTGATTATTATTTATGTGAAATAAAGATGATGGCAATGGATTCGTAAGGCCATTTGGTGTTGAATGTACAACATCATTTAAATTAGCATTTGATATTGAACGATTAGTCTATTAGAAAGAAATCATATCGCAGTGAATCTAATTTCGTTTCTAAAATAGTTTATTAATAGTCAGATATGATTATTTAGTTTTTATAACGAATCAATATTCAGAAATCTTAGACATGACGGACTATAATGAACACGAGAACGTTTAGTTCAAAAAAGTTAAGCACACAAAAAAAAATGAAGGTAAATATAACGTTTATTGAAAGATCAATAATTGCATATGGATGTGGATGTTAGTCTTCTACTTATTCCCACCCGCACTCCGACGCATACGCACACCCTTTATCATCACTTTTTTTCGCGTATTTTAATTTTCAGTGCTGAAGTTTTCTTGTTCTTATCTGTCAGCAATCCATTCGAAGTAGCATTTACTCGATTTTTGTGTTCTACGGTTTCTAGTCGATAAGTCGAAAATGAAATGTAACTGCCAATGCAAGAGTGTATATTGTAATTCAAGAGCATTTAGTATATTCGGATCAAATAAAAGGTTGTCTCGTATAACTACCAAATTTAAAATATGAACGACTTCTGTTGTATTATCATGGTTGAATAGAACTCGTTCAGTTACTTTTGCAAAAGTATGTCTCACATGTAGGAAAAGACAATTCTTACGGAAGTCAGAATTTCGAGCCTATTTTGCCTTTTATTTGAAATATTTTATTCTAATGTAATTCAACGAGCTCGATCTAACTATGATAAAAAGAGAATAATAAGTCCTATTGAAATTTTGAATTGTTACCACACATATATATTAAAAGTTGAAAATCTCAGTCCGGGCATATTCTAAGCATCTCATATTTAAAACGTAGTAGTTTGATGAAGGGACCCTTAAGTTGGTCTGAATGTGTTCAATGTTCTTTAGTTACAATATACATCCTTCGATCGTAAGTAAAATAAGATAATTGATAATATTCATAGAAAAATGATAGATCTTTTTATTAAACAAGATTATGAATATTCGATAACTAAATTTGTATATTAATATGATTAATTTCTTCATTATCATCTTCATGAATAGTGCTTATTGAACGTATACTCAAATTAATCTTATCCTTTGGATGTGAAATGTTGACTAACAAAATTTTTAGAGTATTTTTTTTCTTGTCAAGTAAAACTTTGCAAATAATCTAAAACATACTTTTTTATCTGTTGTTGTTGATATATCTGCTTGTCGATGTTCCATAGCTGATATAGGTCTATCTCGATCAAGATATTTTGTTCGTCTTTCAATAGTTGTTGCTTCTTTACTATTATCACGTATACGTAATAATGTTGTTGTTGCTGATTGTGGTGGTGCTGGTGCTGGTGATGGTGGTGTTGGTAATATAGGACTCATTGTCCGTTTAAGGATTAATTTTCGTATCATATCACATAAATCAAATGCAACTGATTCACGTCGTACAGCAAATACATGACAATCAAGTAAAGAACATGTACCGCTTGTACCTGTTTTTTTCATAATAAATAATAAAAGTGGTGGATGACAAGATGATGATGATGGTGATGGAGTTGAAAGAAGATTATATTGTGTTTTATCAATTGTTGAGTAAAGAGAACGAAAACGTTCTTGATGTTCACAACCTAAAAACAAAGACATTTAAAAAAAATATATAATTATTATAATTTAGTAATAAAAGATTGTATTACAAATGAATGATAAATTTATTATTTATTTATTTATAATCATCTTTATTCGTATTATATAATAATAACAATCGGTTAAGTTGTCTGACCGATAAATAAATACAATGTATTCTTCTTCCGTGAATAAATAGTAAATTTAATGAACATGACCAGTCTACTGCCGGTCAATCTTACTCGTTCTCTATTGACAATCTATCTGTATAATAATGGTATTTAAAAAAGGCAACAGAGAATTTCCGCTTAAACGAAACAAAGAAACAAGAAAAGAAATTTGTATCAGATGGTTTCTTTTTCTTCTTTCAAAGGTTAGTTAACACCACTTATTACCAGCTGTTGTAACAAATTATCAAACAAAAAAAAAAATAATAAAAAGAACGAACGATACTTGAACAGCTGCTATGTGTGAACTTACCAATAGGTAAAAATGCAGCACGTATACGTTTATGATGATGATGATTTTCTGTATGATGAAACATAAGATATAATTCTAATGCTTGTATATCAACAATAGATTCTAAAGTCGAATAAATTAATGAACGTTTTCCTTTTGATGCTGCATCAGGTTCAAATATTAATATATCACGATCCGATATTATTATTCGACGTTCATCATGATGACGTTCACGTCGTTGACGATAATAAGGTATATATAATTCACGCAATGGTTTTTGAAATGATGCTAAATTTGGTGGGGATTTTCCTAATGGTATTGTGCCTAAATAAGGTAATTGTAATGAATAAGCACTTGACGATGACATATCGTTATCAGAATAAGATGAAATTCGATTTTGTACAACTAAATGTAACAACGATGACATCGTTAGATGTATTTTGTCAATAGACTCTTCGAATATATAAATGTATACATACGTATGTGTGTGTGTGAACCCTGTCTATGCGGACCCGTACAAGACAAAGAAGATTAGACAGACGGACATATGTTGATTAGAAGAATGACGACGAGAAAGAAGAGAGTGACCATTGAATGTATATGTTTGTTGAATAAAAAAAAGGAGGAAAAAAGAAACGAAGACAAGACGAATAACGAAGGAATCCGATCAAGTGTGGATGTGACTTCAACACTAAACGAAGGATTCAATGTGTAGTAATTTTAACATTGTGTACAATGTAGGAAACAGAAAAGAAATCTCAAACGATATTCAATTGAAAGATATACGAGTGAATGAATGATGCGACTTAGTTAATACTTATGCACATATACCGCATAGAAAATTTGAACGAAGATTAAGTCGGCCATTTCTACTGCTTGTCTATTGTCTGATGATGAACATACTAGCACGAATGAATTAATCGATTGTAAGCATAAAAGTAACAAGACTACAAGCGATAAAGAATAAAATATTGACCGAATTTTTGGTGTTTAGGCGAAATACAAGGTTGTATCTACTATGGATTAATCTCTTTTTTTGTTTCTTTCATTATCTCGTTCTTTAGTCATTTTAACATCCAATTATTTTAAATCTAGATATATTAATTGGTGTTAATATTGGACGGAATAAAAATACAACAACAGAAGTTGAACAAGATTATACATTAGGTATTGAACAATTTGGATGTCTTGCTGATTATCTTGTTATTAATATTTCAAGTCCAAATACACCTGGTTTAAGAGCATTACAAAATGAAAATGAATTAAAAACTCTTCTAACATCTATTCGTAAAGTTTGTAATAAAATTTCATGTAAAAATCAACAAGATCAAATAATAAAAACACCATTAATTTTACTTAAAATTGCACCTGATTTAAATGAAAATGAAATAAAATCAATTTCACATATTATTCGTCAACCAAATACACGTATTGATGGTTTAATTGTATCGAATACAACAATAGCAAGAATAGATACATTAAAAAATGAACATCGAAATGAAACTGGTGGATTAAGTGGTAGACCATTAAAAGAAAAAGCACTTGAAACTCTTCGTTTATTTCGACTTTATACTCAAGGTTTCCCTTTTTATTTTTATTCTATTATTTTCATATTTCAATTTGTTTCTTAGGTCAAATTCCGTTAATCGGTGTTGGTGGTATCGAAACAGCAGAAGATATTATCGAACGAATGAAAGCTGGTGCAAGTCTCGTACAAAGTAAATACAATGATATGCATAGATTAATGGAAGAAATGTTAAACTATATTAGTGTATATGCTTATTGTCATTCATAAGTGACAGGTTTACTTATATGAAAAAGAATTTAATTGATTTGTGAGAACTAGAGTCTAATGACAAACTCAACAAATAGAAGGAGAATACTATTGCTCTAGCCACGTTACAGCTACAAGCATCATTAGTTGCTGAAATTTCAAATCGCTGACGCTATAGATGGAACCGCTCTGCCAGTAATGATTGGTTGGTCTGAAATCTGTACCGGTACGAATTCCATCGCTGGCTGTTGCCACCACAGAAAGAAAATAAATACTAGATTTTTTCGAAATCTTCGATATTCGAGATGAGTTTTCAGGGATGTTCTTATCTAATTTCGTATCAGTATGTTTCATAATATAATTATCTTTCCTTTTATTTCACAAATTTCTCGAAACTAAGAAGAGTTTTGAAGAAAGCATTGACAAATTTGAATCACTGCCACTGACAGCTAAAAACACAGTTATAAATAAATTACACCAGCATCACTTGCCATCAATGCATCTGCATAAAATGCTAACTATGATATGTATAATAAGTTAATCGACTTAGTACGAAAGATCTATTCTATAATATATTCTCTTCACATTTGTTATGACATTTAGATAATCTTGTTCAAACTAATTTATTCATCTATAGTATATGGATTAGAATCGTTAAGATATTCATCAATATTATTAATAAAATTTTTTTTTTTGTTCTTAATTTTAGTTTATACAAGTTTAACTTATTCTGGTCCACCACTAGTCAATAAACTTAATCGTGAATTAGCTAATATAATGAAGTAAAATAAATTCTTTCTATCTATATATAATAATACTTATATGTGTATTTTTTTATTTTATTCTATATATAGACAACAAAATATAAAACATCTCAATGAATTGATTGGTAAAGATAGTTAAATTTTTCTGTTATATTTATATAATAAATAAATAAAAGTCTTATATTATTCATTTATGATGATACAGCTTGAACCTTCTTTTTTGCTTTTATTTCCCAAAGATATTCTGTTAAACCATAACCAGTCATACCTAATGATAAAAATATTAAAAGAATAATTAATGCTATTCGTATACGAATATATGGTGTTATAATATAAAATAAAACAAATCCAAGTGATTCCCATAAACGATAATTTGAAAAAGCAGCTTCATCATTATTAGCAAATAAAACACCATAGAATGCATTTATTTGTGTTTGCCATACGGCATCAGCTAAACCCCATAAGCCAGCTAAAACAAATAAAATAACCATTTGATCTTCTGATGGTTTCCATATAAACATTGTAATAATTAACGAATAATTTATTAGTGCAGCAATAACAAAACATGGCCAACGACCAACATATTTTACTAATTGACCAAAACTAAAACTTCCAATTGAATCACAAACACCAGAAGCAATTAAAACTAGGCCAACATATTTTGCATTGAGTGTACAAGAAACAAAACCCTATCATAAAAAAAAACAAGAAAAGTTCAACGAAATAATTAATTAGAATCTTCTTTTTTATATTTCTCAATACTCTTGTAAATTGTGCTCCCATAAATGATTGTTCTAATCCTGACCACATAGTTAATGGTATAAGAAGTAATTGGTTTACATTTCGTAGATGTTTAACTGTTGAAATAAGTAGTTTAACTGAATCACGAAGCATAACTGATATTTTATCTAAGTTATAATAATTAATTGAAGATTGTTGTTTTTTTTTAATTTCTTTAGAAAAAATATATTTACCTCGTGATGATTTTCGTCGTTGTTTAAGAAATATAATAACAGTTAAAATTGAACAAACGCATATACAAATATAAACAATGCAAAGAATATTAATCTATTATAAGAAAAAAGCCTAATAAGAAAAAAAAACAAGAAAATTATTAATTCCTACAGTTTTTCGATCAATTTGATTAACAACTTCTGCACCTTTATATTCTTGTTCACTAAAATCAGCTCCACATTTATCGTATTTTCCTGTTTCATTATATAATGTTTCATTAGATAGTTTTTCTGTTGGTTTAAGTACAAGAAATGATATTAAATTTCCCCAAACTTGACCTATATGAGAAAAAAAAGGAAATCAAATAATTATGTTCGATATTAAATAATAAAAATATTAAAACAAACTTGATTGAAAAAACATAAAGAAAATACCAAAAAATCGATTAACAATAATATCTTTATGAACATGTTTTCTTTCAGCATATATTGTGCCTGTATCAGTTAAATAACTACATTTCGATGTCCATAATGGTGCAGCACCCAATCCAACAAGAGCAGCAGCTTAACAAAAAATAGCAAAGAATTATTGATAAAATAAAACCAAAAAAGATTAAATCATCAAATACCTGGATACATAAGATATGCTTTTGGGTAATAATTAGCTGCGACATATAAAAGATAACTAAAATAAAAGAAAAATAATTTCATCTTCATCCAATTGAATTTATAATAAATACGGAATTTGACATAAGACAAGTGCCCATTTAAGACCTAATAAAGCAATTAATGGATGTGGTAAAAAAATTGATGAAAATATAAGAAAAGCATAAATAATTGATAAAGAATTAACACCAACATTAGCTTCAGTATTTAATGAACTTTGTAAATTACCCATAGCACTAAATGCTGTAAATTGAAGAAGAAAAGCCACGCAAAGTACAAGTAAATTTTTATAAGTACGAAAACGAAGTTCTTTGGTTGACATGTTTCCATTAGCAGTATCATTATCAACAATTGTTCGGTCAATATGAGATTTAAGTTCAACATCCGATATAATTGATGACATTTTTATTTATGAAAACTAACTTCTTTTTTCTCTAACAAAAAAAAAAGAAGAAAGAAATTGTAATGATTAATGATTATGTTCGTATAAAGATAAAATAAAGCCAATTACTTGTTTGAGAGACGAACGACAACTATTTTTATAACGATGGATTACCGTATGTTTTTGCTTTAAACAATATTTATTGTCCCGTCGATGATGTTTGACAAATAGAACATACGATAAATAAAAAGATTTATCCTTCGTTGTGGATATGTCAGTCTACCTTGCATAAAACGATAAGAAAAACTATTCTATGAGCAGCAGTATTTCGAGACCATTAGGATTAGGGGAAGACCCGATCAGAAGATTGTTACAAAAGTTGATCGGATTTGAAGGAAAGGATCTAAATGTTTCTTATTGGGAGATGGTGAGCAACAAAGTAAGATAAAATGCTTGAACTCTACTGGAGACAAACGAATATTCTTAAGATTGGGGGATCGATCTTGCTCAGGACACTCCTGTCTATCGTATCTCATGAAATAAACATTTTCTAAAAAGTATCCTCGGATATAAGATACCATGACATGTTTTGATATGATTCGGAACATTGTATGCCATATTTAGGTGTTTGCAAGATATGACATTTGAAAAGAAAAAAGATAAGACGTGCTATATCAATGATAGCAACAAAATAAAGAATAAACTATGAAGGTTGTGTTATCGACAATTTAGGTGAAGATATACGCAGCAGGTCTTCGAATGGAATGGTAAGTGACAAAAAAGTCTTTTCAGTTTAACTTTGAACCGACTGACTTTCATGACCTTGTTATTCTATTATCTCAGTGTTCCTCGATCTACAAAGTTGATTGACATCCGATTGACAGGAATATAACGATACCAACAAGTTATTGGAACTTTGCTAAGAAAAATCAAACCCATAAATTTCAAGAAACCTATTATAGATTCGAATTTCACGATCTCGAAAATCTTTTATCAAGTTTTTGTAAAAACCTGACGAAAATAGTACGACTACAGGTGAAGACAGACCTTCACCTTACATCCATATCATCGTATTGATATTGTTACAATGTTACGGTTTATATTTATTAGGAGGATTCGACAGAATGCAAGAACTGCTTTTTTTTTTGGAAGAGGTTTTAACGCTATGTATGTAAGTGTTAAGAAGTAATAATATTGCTACTCCAGTGCATTATGTATTCATGAATTGTTAGCTTCTAATGAGTTTACTTAGTTTTCTTAGATCACAGAAGATTCTTCCATTTCCTAGTGCAAGTCACTAGATTTCTTCAGATCCTTGTGGACTCAAGTGAATTCTCTGATTGCTAGGATTCAATAAAATTGCTCAGAATTTCTCTCCATCTATTGATTTATTTAAATCAAGAGTTATAAAAAAGGATGTTGAGAATAAATTTGAAGTGGAGATGGTAAGAACTCTTTATGACCATGCCATTTTGTCCAAATAATCAATATTTATGGTGAAAAGTGTTAATAAATTTTAACAAGTTTGAAGCACAAAACATTCCATAAAATTAGTCTTATCTTTTATTGTTTGAACTTTGATAAAAAGATGTTAACGATGAGAGTATAATAAATCCTATCATCTACCATAGGTATCATAAAAGATCTTGAGTCCATATGTTATCAGACATAAATCTGTGTTTCTTCTTGAAAAAAAGAAGGCAATCCTATGGAACAAGAACTTCATTCATTTCTGTCTGGTTGTTACCTTAAGAGGACTGTTAGTTATTGATTGTATTAAAGCCAACTCTCGAAATTCCTAGCAGAAAAACTCGTGCTGCAATTATTTTCTCTACGCAAACTTCTCCTTATGATAACGATTATTTCTTATTTCAAAGGTGTTGAGAGCACCGATCATGGATCTATAACAGTGCTGAACACTCATTCTTTAAGAACTGTCAAACTAGCAGTAACTACTAGAAATTCAGCAATAATACGTAAAAGCCGAGTTGGCTATAAAGAATGAACGGGATGTACAAACTTAAGGTATTCAAATCTTATTTCTATTTCCTTATACAGACTATTGTCGACTATGGCGTGAAAAGAAGATGTCAGTTCGGGTTCCTGATATGAGATCATATTCGGATCCAACTCGGCAACTAATCAGCTCTCAAGGTTTCAAAATATTTTTACTTTCTCAAACTACTATTTATATAAAAGTATAGAAGTAGAAACTTCAACAATTTATTGTACCTGAGAATAGGTCACTGAATTGGAAAGCGATATAATTTCACTACAAGAATTCATTTTTTAATGGAAATTCATCTACACATGATGATGAAGTAACTGAATACGTGGAGAAGAAAATGAATTATCGTGATGGGAAAAGCATTCATGTATGTATCTACAATGATGACATTTGGCACCAACATACTGCATTGCATTCAAGCATCATTAGCAACAAGCAAACTTATACTTATCGAAATGGATTGGATTTGAGAGGCATAAAGACACCAAGAGAATGCTGAATGACTTGCTTTTTTGTTGTTGTTGTTTATGGAAGCAACTAAATAGTATACTTTTTCATATACAATAAAAGCTTAAAAATTGTACTATGACTGTGGAAATCTCTACCAGATGTCGGTCTGCTTCGGTCCAATCACATTCTCAAACTAATTAACATAATTGATAAACTACAGATATTACTCGTACTTAAAATTCACATTGTTTTTCAATCGTAAAAATTTTTGAATTAAACTTTATGTT